ATAATAATAATAATAATAATAATAATAATAATAATAATAATAATAATATAACTCCGCCCCCCTCCCTTGCTGTAATATAAAGGGTGGAGCACCCGCCTTTTTCCCCAGTCATCTTTCGACTGCCAATCGCTTTGCCTTGAGCTGTTCATTACTCTCTATTCTATTGCATTTTTACTCGTTCTTGTTTGCTGATTCTTGTTGATCTTTTACTTAAAAATGTTTCCAAGTTCAAAATCCCTACATTCCCTGTTTAGGTAGTTGTTTCTCTTTCCCCTTCCCCCCACCCCCAAATAGTTGTATACTTAATATATTTACTATCTTCTTTAACTCTTATTCTTCCGTTCACTGTCCGCTTCTCGATGGCTCAGCGTGTGGCTTTTCAAAAGTGCTTTCTTTCAAAAATGTCTCCTATGGTCCCACACAAGCTATGCCTTCTCTCTCTCAGAGAAGGACATCGAACTGACAACTGTGGCCATTGTCAGTCATTCACCAAATAGGCCCGCAAAAATTGGGAAAATCGGCTGAGAAAGATCCTTTGGAATAAGACCCTCATTGACTCCGACTAGCTTGCCACCCAGGCCTCTTCCATGGGCCCACCCATGGTGTTCTCCCCTCGTCCACCATCCGAGGAAGCTGCTTTCAAGGAGACCACTCGCTCCTCCCATTTCTCCTTCCAGAAACAAAAGGAAAAATGGAAGGACACTGGGCTGGAGGATCTGTTGGCTTCGAAAAAGTTTTAAGAAGACTAAAGCCTACAAAGCCGAATGTAAGCAGTGTAAGCTTGTCCAGGAGACTTGCAGGGACTTGGATTTGATCCCATCGGTCCTGACGGCCACTTCGGTCCCCCGATCCCTTCGGGTCCGACTGCCCAGGCCATCATGTAGGTTACACCCTGGATCCTCTCAAAAGTTCTCATTGTTGGCTCCTTCGACTTTGGGTTGCTCCGAGGTGGTGCTCTGCAGATTTATGTCTGATGGTGAGATATGGGATTTGCCACCTCGATCCCAACTGGGTCATCTGCCAGCTCGCTCGTCTACTCCAATTGCATCGTCACCAGAGGCATTGCTGAGGCCTCCACCTCCATCTGACACACGTCACCACCAGCGTACCTTGGGCCAACTCTTCAGGAGCTGGGTTCCTATGCCGTACAGCAGGTCCATCTCAGTCCTATCCTTGGGACTACCCTCCACTGTGTGGTTACTACCCCATGCTTTCGGTGCACAGGCTTCGTCCTCGTCCATCCTGGACAGATGCACCTTCCACCTTGGGGGCTGCAACCTCCCGCCCTCCTCCATCTCCAGCTGGCTTGTCCTCCAGTCTGCCTTACCACTAGGACTCGGATCAGGCTTCCACCTGCCTGATGCCGTAATTTAGACCCAGAGATCTGGGTCACTGGAAGAGTCGTACTCTATGATTGGAGAGCTCATAGCTCGCCTTGCAAGGTTGCTGGAGATCAAAGTAGAACATCAGGTGAATCCCAGTGAGGATCACTTCTATGACATCGTTTGTAAGGAACAGTCATCCGCCATCTCCGTCCCCTTGATAATGACTCATCACTAGGCTATGACCAACGTGGGAGTTTTCGAGCCAGCCGCATCTGACATCTCAGCGATATGAGTCCATGTATAAGGTTAGGGAGCAGGACATTCCATTCCTGCTCAATCACCCTAAACCAAACTCTATAGTGGTTGAGTCGTTGCAGGGACCTCGAGAGACAGGGCCGGAAAATAGACTTGATGTTGCACTGTATCTACGTGGCAATGGGGCTAGGTTTATGGATATCGAATTATGAGGCGACGATGTCCAGGTATCAGTACTTCCTGATGCAAAGGCTGGAATCCATCACCTCTTCCATCCTGGAACAGCAACGCGACTTGGCCCACGTTTTCATCCATGAGTCTATGCAGCTTGCCATAGAACAACTCAGCACGGCGTGACATTGTGTAGATTGTGATTCCCGGGCGCTTGTCGGATCCATCGGCTTACGCCGACACGCATGGCTACACTCCAGCAATTTCCCGGACGAGATGAAGAGGCTCATGGAAGGCATGCCTTTTGATGGGTCTGGCCTCTTTAATGCTCACACAGACCACAAACTCGAACATATTTAGAACACTCGAGCCACCACTCGGAAGATGGAAATACCGAACTTGAATCAACGTAACTGGCCGCAATCTCAATATTATTGGTATCAGCCTTACCAACGCTAACCCACCACCACCACGAACAGTATCAGCCTCGTCAACAGTGAAACCAAGGCCAGCCTGCCGCCTGTTTCCAGCAGGGCCAACACCATCATTCAAATGATAAGCTATAGTGTTGACGAAACACATGGGCTGATCTCTCTCTCCACCCACCTTCCCCCCTCCCTTTTGGGGACTGGCTGCAAGGCCGACTCCCCATTTGGGAGTCCATCACATCTGACAAGTGGGTACTTTCCATCGTTGAGCACAGATATAAAATTGAGTTTTATGCCCCCTTCGGGACTGATTCGTTATAGCTCTCCATCGATGGTCCTACGAGATGAGGTCTCCCAGCTACTTCATAAAGGGTGATTCATCAGATCTCCCTCTCAGATGGGCTTCATGGTTTCTACTCAAGATATTTTACTGTCCCGAAATGGGATGGTGGTTTACATCCAATACTTGATCAACATGGCGTTAACAAGTTCACAGGTTAACAAGACTAAAAAATTTCGGATAAGCATCTTTCAGAATATTCTTCCATTGCTCAGGAGAGAAGATTGGTTCGCTTCCCTCGACTTAAAGGATGCATATTTCCACATTAGTATCCATCTGTCTCACAGGCAGCTCTTTCTGTTCACTGTTGGCTCTGACATTTTCGAGTATAACGTCCTCCCATTTGGACTTGCTATTGCTCCACGAGTATTCACAAAGTATATGGCACCTGTTTGTGCTCACCTCAGGTTACACAATCTTTGGTACCGAGGGAACCTTCAGGTCCCATTTCAGATTTGAACCTCCTTCACCCAGACATTCAATTCATTCTCCAATCTGTTGTATGACCGACGACTCGCCGCTCCTATGAAGCTAAATGGAAGTGTTTTACCACCTTTGCAGCGAGCAACCAATTTCTGCCTCACTCAGCTTCAATTGACAATATTTCACTCCTTCTATTGTCCCTACACCAGCACAGACTAAAACCTACTTCTAAAAAAGGTGTATATCGCTGCGATTTCTCACTTTTGTGGTATTATATCCAGCTCCTTTGTCTTCTCACTTGTCCTTGTCTGTCATTTCCTGAAAGGAGTATAAAATCTCCAATCTCCAGTTTGGTCAGTGGTACCAGCATGGAGCCTCTCCATTGTGTTGCAAGACCTTACCAAAGCTCCCTGCGAACCTTTAGCTACCACTGACTTATGGTTACTGTCCTGGAAAACCACCTTTCTTGTTGCCATCACTTCGGCTAGGAGGGCGAGTGAACTGTGTGCCCTTCGTGTTGACCCTCCTTACCTCAGTTTTCATAAGGAGAAGCTTGTTCTCTGGACTGATCCTACATTCCTTCCTAAGGTTGCTACACCCTTTCACATTAATCAGGACATTGTTCTGCCAGCTTTCTTCCCTTCACCCTTGACACTGATAGAAAAGTCTGTCCATTCTCTCAATGTACGGCGCTGCCTGGCTTTCTATCGGTCCTGTATGGAGAACTTCAGAAAGACCAAGTGCCTTTTCATTAAATACTTGGAACATGGTAAGGGCTCTGCTGTCTCCCCCTAAAGACTCTCCAAATGGATCGTCCAAACCATCAAACTGACATATCAGTTGTCTAAGCTAGGACTCCCTGTCATAACCAAGGGTCATTCTACCAGAGCTGTGGCAGCCTCTTCGGCTTTTTCTGCTGGCATTCCATTACCTGACATCTGCAAGGTGGCAACCTGGACGACCCCTCACACATTCACCAGACATTATAGACTTGATGTCCGTGCCAGACAGGCCTGCTCCTTCGATCGTGCTGTCCTTTCTTCAATTCTTCACTGACGACACCATCCCGCCTCCAGATTGGTAAGCTTACTAGTCACCCATAATGTGTGATGCACAGAGACCACAACAAAGAAAGGCAGGTTGCTTACCTGTAACTGTCATTCTTCGAGTGGTCATCTGTGCATTCACACAACCCACCCACCGGCCCCACTTGGTGTCAGTGATTGGGTCTACAAAGGATTTTTCCTTCACAACTACTGAATATTTTTGTATTTACTTTATTAGTATGTTCCTTTCTTTAATTGGTTTCACGGGTGGCATCTTACACTGACCGTTTATCCACCAGGGGGCGATAGGACAGTCTCCATGAGACTGGGGAAAATGGTGGGCACTCCACCCCTTATATTACAGCGGGGGACAGGTGCAGAGTTCCCTGTCCCCCACTGTCTGTTAAAGCTTTGAATTCTTCCTGGCTGTAGCACTGCGCAGGTGCAGCACCCACTCATAATGTGTGAATGCACAGATGACCACTCGAAGAACAACAGTTACAGGTAAGCAACCTGCTTTTTAGTTCCCCACAATGAATTGTTGTGTCACACGAACTAAGTCATGCAACTTTTCTTGTTTCTAGCAAACTGGACAAAAATTCCAAAGTCATAGTTTCAGTGCATATCTAGTTCTTATTTTCAAAGACCCTATAAAATTAGTACAAAAATACCCCAAGCAATATATTTTTAGATTTTTGCTTCTGCCCTGTAGATTCTTACTTCTAGTAAATTACCTTCAGCATGACTTGTTTAACTAAGGATGTGTTTGCATTTCTGCAAAGTTCTGCTATATGTATGGATACTAATTCCTTTTTTTTTTTGCTTCAGCGGAAGAGAAAGCTCGGGAAGCAGAGAGCAAAGCCCGTGCTTTGGAGCTGCGCCTTGGAGGGGATCTTACAAGGGAGTCAAGGGTAAATGCATAGTGTCTGACTAGTGGCTAGAAATTCAAGAAGAGAAACTCAGGGAAGCATCTCCCTGAACTGAGCAGAAGACACCTGGTAGCAGATACTAAGTATTTGGCTGCACCTGTGACTGATTCTTAATGCTGGGAAAATGCCTTTGTCTAACTTGAAAAGTTTCATCAAGCTTTACTCAGGAATATTCAGTAATTCTATTTATGGACAGTAGGCAATTCTGAGTGTCCAGTTTATTGTATAATTTTCTTTCTGGAAGGAGGCAGGTTGATGGACTGCATTTCTTTTCCTTTTGGGTTGCTGTGGAAATGCTAAATTGCTGTTGCACAAATAGTAGTGGCCCACTTGCACAGTGGAATTGGGGTTTAAGCTCCTTACTGGATTCTGCCCAATATTTATTTCAGAATAGACCAGAATCAAACTGATTAGTATAAAGAATGTACACCCATTTTTACTGTTGGGTATTGAATATACTTTATGTAAATATACTGTTGAATATAAAAATGTATGTAAAACAGGTTGAAACAGCAAAATTCAACAAAACATAGTTAAGCATGTTTAAGTCCCAACCCTTTCATTGGTAACTGTAACTTTTTCCTGTTTTGAAATCAATGGAACTTCAGTGTGCTTAACTATGACAAATTTGTGCTCTGTGTATTTTCTTAGAATTATTCTGGCATTTTAATAAAAACTTACCTGATTTCATAGTTTGAAGCAGTAGGCAAACAAAAATTCAAATATCCTTCCCAAGTAAAGTGCAAACAAAGATGCATTATACAAGATTACTTGCAAAAAAAGTGTATTAGGCAAAATTAAAAATGCAAGCATTAGAAGAAACACACAAAAAAGCATACAAGTGTTCATGTAGGCTTAAAAGACATCCCAGAATTTGAAATGAATAAAATATATAATTGGAAAAATATACATTGAACCAAGCCTCAAATTGACAGATTTATATTGAATTGGCCCTGCCACTGTTCGTTTATTTATATGAATTATTCATATACTGTTTCTTAGCCATAACCGCTTCCAGCGGCTTGCATACAATCAGTTAAACAGGATATAATATACAGTCTAAAAAGGCATGACAGGTAAGAAATGGAGAGAACAATTTGTTACTTTAGCAGAGTTTATTATGAGAGCTTTTAGGGCTATTAGGAGGAAACTGTAAACAGCATTAAGCTTCAAGTAACATTGTTCAAAATGAGGTTCTGTTTCACATATGCAGGTCATGTTGTGTCAAACCCAGGACATGGCAATAAACATGCGGAGAGAAGCTGATGTTAAAAAGAGGATCAAAGAGGCAAAGCAACGGTGAGCAGCAGAGTTTCTGTTCCTTCATGCATTTTTCCTTTATGTATAAAAGTTCATACAACATCCTGTATTAATAAAGATTTATGCTGTCCTTCCCATAGTGAGCTCAGGTTGCCCTGCATGTATGCAGGTGATTTCATCCCGTTTTTACCCCAGGGAAGTACTTTGTAGAAGGTTAGTCTAAGAACATGACTTGCCCAATGCTACCCAGTGAAAGGGGAAGAAAGCTATGAAATTTCAAAACAATAAATAGAGGGGATGAGAGGGTTGAGGTTAAAAAAAAGCTCTTTTAGAGGTGTTTTTCTATTTGTTGCTAAGTTGATAGCATCAGAGTCACAGAACCTGTAATTCATTGGGGAAGAACTTCTGGCCCAGACACCAGATTCTGTCTTAGAGAAGCTCTTCAGTGTGAGGTTTAAAAAAATAAATCTGCTGCCACTCCTTTGTTACTAGTTTAATAGTGAGAAACAGTCAGTCTACAGGCTGGATACTTCCCAGAACTTCCAATCTCTAACAAAATAATCCCTATCTTACCATGTTTCATTCTCATACTTTTTGTGTCATATCTACAAAGTATGAGAACAAAATATGGTAAGGTAGATATTATTCATATTGGGAAGTATGATTTAACTGGCATTCTAAGACTTGAGGCTTAGTCTTTACATTGGGAATGCTAAATACAGTGGTACCTTGGCTCACGAACTTAATCCGTTCCACGACTCTGGTTGTGACCCAAGTCAAATTTCCCCATAAGGTTCAATGTAAATAAGGTTAATCCGTTCTGTAACTTCTTTTTTTTTTTTCAGAAAAATTTGAAGCAAAATGACAAAGAACAACATAGTGGCAAAATACTGTACAGTACAGTGGAGAATACTAACCTAGGTGGGGGGAAGTTATTGTTTTGAGAGAGAGCCCCCCCTCCATGAGGACATTGAGAAGATCTTTTTCAGGGGTTTCCCCTCTTCTTTGTCTCTTAGCTGCAGGGTCATTTTTGGTGAAAACTCTGTCTATAGTCACTTGTTTTTTCCTGTGCTGCATAATCCTTCGGAAATGAGAGACCAGATTATCGTTCATCAGATTCAACACTCTCTTCATTACAGTTATGTTGGGGTGGTGCTTCTCAAAGAAATCCTGGCACCCATTCCATTTTTTCATAATGGATTGTATCACATCACTGCTAACCTCTTCCCTGTCTTCCTCTTCCTCAGTGGAATCCTCCTCAGCAAGTGCCTTCTGCTGCTCACTCTGGAGTTCAGCAAGTTCTTCTGTCATCAGCTGCTCTATATCTTCCTTGCACAAACACAACTGTGATCGTGGCCATCTACCCACTCGGGGTGGGAGGGTGGCCGCAATCGTGCTGGTTGGTGGGGGAGATGGCCAAGATTGTACTCGTCTTTCCTGCAGGAGTGCGCCTGTGATCACTCACGTCTTCCCAGCATGAATACAACTGCAATCATGGCCATCTCCCCACTTGGGTGGGGAGATGGCCACGATCTTGGTTCCCACCCAATGCGGAGTTCACAACCCAAGTCAAAATTTTCACGAAATTTTTGTTAGTGACCCAATTTGGTTGTGAACCAAGGTGTTTGTGAGCCGAGGCACCACTGTACTGAGAATTACAGCTCAATCCTAAAATCAGACAAGATAAAAAGAAATGAGAGAATATCATTCCATATAATATGAGGTGAGCATCCTTACATTCTGGTTCAGTATGATGATGAGGGGAAGGAAGTCAGCTAACATACACAGTTGCAGGAAGACAGGGGAAACCGAAATTGATTCTGACCAATAGAAGCCAACTCAAGAACAATATGAAGCTGGAAAAAGGCAATTGGGTTGTAATAGACTTTTAGATTCCTTGGAAGGAAATTAAACACAGAGCAGGGCAGCAGTAATAAGCTTTTTTGGCAGGTATATCCCAGGTCTGCCCCACCCCACTGCGTGTGTAGTCCTCTGTTCTTTGCAGTGCTTTTTCCTCCACTAATTTGGGAAGGAAAGAGCAATGCACCCAGAGAAGGATGGGTAGAAAAGATTGCATATTTTACAACAGGCCTGCTAGTTCACCAGAAACTCACATTATTCATGGCCCTAAGTTCTTCATCGTGGTCTCCATGCATCACACATTATAAGTCTTGTGACTGTGCAGTGCCTGTTGCCAGGAAGATTTAAGAGCTTTAATGGTTTTTGGCGGGAACTCCCTGCCCTTCCCCCCCTCTATAGTATAAATGATCAGAGTGCCCACCCTTTCCTCAGTCTGCTTGTGACCATTGTTTGGCATGCTTCAGGCCTTTTTCTTCGCTTGTCTCCTCATCTTTTCAATTGTTAATCTAAAAAATTTAAACTTTTTCTTTCTCTTTAAACTCTAGTATATACCCTAAATCCCATTATTCACCCTTACCGAACCCCTGCCTTTATTTCTTGTTCTTTTCCTCTTATTCTCTACCCCATCCAAATAAAATCTTTTTTGAAAAAACCCCTCTGTCGGCCTTACCTCTCTGACAAATTATCTCCATTCACTGTCTTTCTCTCTTTTCGATGGCACAGCGGGCGGCCTTCCGTGAGCGCTCACAGTGTGAAGCCAAAATGTTTCCCATTGAACTTCATGATCTGTGTCTTCTCTGCCTTGGAGAAGGGCACAGGACCAGCAAGTGCAGCCACTGCCAGTTGTTCATCATGCAGGCTCACAAAAACCGCGAAAATAGGCTGCACAAAATGTTATGGGACCAAGCACTGGTCGCCATGAAGCAAGTCTCAGCTGAGGCCAGCTCTTCTGCAGCTTTAGGACCATCGAAATCATCCCCCCTCACTCATCCAAAGGGGATCTTGTTATCATGGATGGAAAGCGTTTCCCTCATTCTCCTCCTCACAAACATAAGGAGAAGAGGAAGCATGTCAGGTCCAAGGAATCATCAAAACCAAAGTGTCCTAAGAAGGACAAGCCCGACAAATCCAAACATCAGCACAAGAAGCGTGACAAAGTGCCCCGCTCTGAACCAAGTGTTGCATCAGTCTTGGTTCTGACAGAACCACCAAGCCGCCAATCAGTTATGCAGGTGACACCTCCACGGCTTACAATTTCTCTATACTCCAGTTCCGACCGCTTCAATCCCTTGGGGAGAGCTTTGATTTCCAACGAAGAGATTTGTGAATCTCCTCCCCAGTGGGGACCAGATCATCCACCTGCAAGATCGACCTGCAGGGCAATCATCTCCAGAGGGCTCTCTGAGGGCACCTCAGTGTCCATCATCCCTCTTTCCCCCAAGCCTTTCACACCACAAACAATGTGGTACTGGGGTCCTCTATGCTACGGAGGATTCAACCCTGACTGCATGGAGCGACCCTATCCATGGGATTACTACCCCCCATATGGATATTACCCCCCACCACCAATACATCCTCATCACTCCACTCCTTGGTATCAAGGGATGCCCTGTCAACATCTGCTGTGGCGCTCACCCACCTACCAACTTCTCCTGTCGGGTCCTCATCTAGTCCACCCTATGAATCCGACTTGGATTTGGAGGACTCCCAACAAGTTTCTACTTCTCCTGACACTGTTATCTCCAGCCAAGTTCCTGGGTCTCCGGGTGAATCCCAGGGTATCTCCTCTGAGCTGTTCATGTGAATGACAAAATCATTGGAAATTGACATTCAACAACGTATAGATGCCAACCAAGACAACATCTACAACATTGTTCATAAAGAGGATTCTTCACCCATTGCCCTGCCATTTATCACTACCCTTCAACAGGCAATGACTGACATTTGACAGCTCCTGAACTACCCACATCCTACCTCCAGACATTTAGAGGTGATGTATAAAGTTCAAGAGCAAGACAGTCCCATTCCTGTTAAAACATCCACAGCCGAACTCAATAGTTATCGAGTCTTCGCAAGGCAGGCAAACTAAGGAACATTTTACCCCAGCTGATAAAGAAGGTTGAAAAATTGACATGATGTCTCACCAGATCTACACCACAATGGGACTCAGTCTTCAGATCTCGAATTATGAGGCCACCGTGGTCCACTGTCAATTTTTGCTTTGGCAGAAAATCAAGTCCCTCGCTGCATTCCTCCCGGACCAGCAAAGGGAACTGACCCGCATATTCGCTGGGGAGGCAATATAGCTTTCCCGACAGCAGCTGAACATGGCAAGACATCATATTGACTCTCATCAGTGCCGTAGCCCTTTGCTGTCTTGCCTGGCTGAGATTGGGTAGACAATTTGCCATTTGATGGCTCCAGCTTATTGAATGCAAAGATGGACAACAAACTTGAACACTTCAAGAAAGCTCAACTGACTGCATGCCACATGGAATACCCATCCCAACAAAGACTTACGTGGCCATGGTACAGATCCCAGTACCAATACCAGCCTTATCACCAGCCATGCCCCATGGGACGTCAACAGTATGGCCAGAGATAACAGACGAACCAAAGACAAAATGCACCTCATTACCAGCAACCTAGGTGCTGACCAGAGACAGATAAGCTCCAGTGATGATGGGACGTGCAGACCTTTCCTCAGTCCTGTAACCCACCTTCCCCTCTCCCTTTTGGGGACCAGCTACAAAGCCAACTCCCCATCTGGGAGTCCATCACATCTGATAGGTGGGTTCTTACCATCGTAGATCATGGATATAAAATCGAGTTTGAGACCATGCTGCCTTCCGGCCTGATCATACAGCAGCCTCCCCAGCCCTCCAGGAAGAAATCATCAAGCTGCTTCATAAGGGAGCGATTCATAACCTTCATCACTCCAAAAGACTGCACTGTTTCTACTCTAGGTACTTTATGATACCAAAGAGAGACGGTGGGTTGTGCCCTATTCTGGACTTAAATGGGGTCAATAAATATATTGAAACAAAAGAATTCAGAATAAGCACACTCCAGTATATACTTCCATTGTTCAAGAAAGAGGATTGGTTCACATCCCTGGACTTGAAAGACACTTACTTTCACATCAGCATTCATCCTACTTACAGGCACCTCCTTCGGTTCAGTGTCTGTACCAACACCTTTGAATATAACGTGCTCCCCTTCAGGCTCGCTACTGCTCTGAGAGTCTTTACCAAGTGCATGGCTCCTGTTTTTGCCCATCGCAGGCTTCAGGGCATCCCTGTCTACCCATACCTGGACGATTGGCTAATTGTTTTCTCCTCCAGAGATGACCTTTTGACTTCAATCAACGCTACCTCTTCCCTGTTAGACCGACTAGGGCTCTGTATTAATACTGAAATAATCATGCCTTGTTCCCTCTCAGGTCATCAATTTCATCAAAGCATGACTGGACTCTATGCACATGAACCTTCCTTCCTCAGGACCGACAGGAAAGATTGATTTCTGCTATCCAACAGATCACTGCCCAATGGACTGTCCCTGCACACTCCATTGAGCAGGTGCTCAGTCATATGGCATGCACGGTATTGGTGGTGCCAAATGTGAGGCTGCGGATGAGACCTTTGCAGCTGTGGTTCAATTGCAATTTTCATCCAGACCATGATTGACTGAACTGGCTACTACAGCCTCTGCGCTCAGTCTTCCAGACCTTGTCCTGGTGGACTATCGATACCAGTCTCTCCTGCGAAGTTCCATTCTGTGCACCAGAAAATTTATATTGACACTTCCCTGACTGGACGGGGTGCCCACTCTGCGTTTCTTCAGACCCAAGGCACCTGGCATAGACACAAGACCCCCAGGCATTCAACTATTTGAAATTGTTGGCGGTCTTCAAAGCACTGTGTTCTTTCCAAACCATCCTATAAGACCACATGGTTCAGATAGCATTGGACAATGTTGTTACTGTGTTTTATATAAACAAACAGGACGGAATGAAGTTGGTACTGTTGGAACACCTTACCCTTCACATGTGGAACTGGTGCATTGCCCACAGAATTACTCCTCAAGCTGTCTTTACTCCTCAGTCTTGCAGGCACTGACAATGAGGAAGCTGACTCCCTCATCAAACACATGTCAACAACACACTAGTGGAAGCTCGTGTTTCAACTCTGGGGAACACCGAACACAGTTACAACTCGTGACAACTGTATGCAGGACGTACTGCTCCTGTGCAGGCATTGGCCCGGATTTGAATGCACTCATGCTTTTGTGGGAGAACAAATTCTTCTACGCGTTCCCACCAATACCACTAATAACAAGGACCATAGCCAAAATCCAGCAATACATAGAAACAGAAACTGAGCGAGTCAGAAGGGGCCTCCCGGGCCATCTAGTCTGACCCCTGACTCCAGCCGGCTCCGCTCATGACATGCCCACCATGTGCATGTCCAACCTATCTTTGAACACTCTCACCAATGGGGCCTCAATGACGTCTCATGGAAGCCGATTCCATACCCTCGGGGTCCTAACTGTCAGGAAGTGCTTCCTGGTATCTAAATGGAACCTTGGTTCCCTGAGCTTTTCTCTGTTGGAGTGCCTCCTGCCTTCCTCTGCAGGGGAGGTCTCTACCCATCTCCATGTGACATCCCCTCACATACCTGTATGTCGCCAACATACCCCTCCCCCCCCGAGTCTCCTCTTCTCCATGCTGAAGAGACCCAGTTCCCTCAATCTCACCTCATACCCCATCCCCTGCAAACCAGCCACCAACCTTGTGGCCCTATGCTGCACTGACTCTAACCTGGCTATATCCTTTCTGTAATGAGGGGCCCAGAACTGAGCACAATACTCCAGTTGCAGGTGCACCAGAGTCATATAGAGTGGTAGTAATATTTCTCTTGGTCTAGAGGCCACGCTTCTGGCTGTGCAACCAAGAGTGGCATTCGCCCTCTTGACCACCGCATCACACTGCTGACTCATGGTTAGCTTGCAGTCAACCAGCACCCCCGAGATCCCTTTCACAAGTGCTGCTCTTCAGCTACTTGTCCCCTAACCTGTACTTATGACACCTATTCCTATGCCCCAAGTGCAAGACCTTGCACTTAACCACATGCCATCCTGTTGTCTCCTGCCCACTTCCATAGTCTGTCCAGATTCTTTTGGATCTGGAGTACCTGCTCCTCAGTTGCGGCCACTGCTCCAGTTTTAGTATCGACTGCGAATTTGATCAGCAGACTGTTTACCCCTTCTTCCATGTCATTTATGAAAAGATTGAACAGGAGCGGCCCCAGAACACTCACAGAATTCTCATCACATCTTGGTGGCCCTGTCAGTCATGATTCCCCACTCTTTTTCAACTATCACACAAAAACTTTTTTCATCTACCTCAAGTTCCCCATCTTCTCACTCAGGAACAGGATGCCGTACAACATCCAGACCTGCATTCTCTAAACCTCACTGCCTGGCTCATTCATTGACTGTTTCTCCGTCTTTATCATTAAAATTGTCCCCTTCTCCTGCATCGATACGGACAGTTTCCTCAGATTCAATACATACACCTTTTTCAGGATTGACACCTGCCTTTTCTACAACTATTTCTACAACATCAGGACCTTTCAGACCAATGTTGCCTTCGGTATCAACATCAGTATTGACATCTGCCTTAGACCCAACGAATTTTCATCCTGATACACAGTTTATTCTCCAATGTGCACTGCAACCGACCACATAGCACTCCTATAATGCCAAATGGAAGCGCATCACCTCCTTTGCCACTGCTAACCAATTTCTACCTCAGTTTGCTACCATAGAGAACATCCTGCAATTTCTACTCTCGTTACACCATGGGAATCTTAAGCCTTCCTCCATTAAGGTGTATATTGCAGCTATTTCGGATAATCGAGGATGCATTGGAGGTTTGTCTATATTTGCACATTATCTTGTGTGTTGATTCCTATGAGAACTGCAAAACCTTTAACCATTGACCCAATCGGTGGTCCCGACATGGAGCCTCTCTGTCGTCATACAGGTTCTCACTAAGCCTCCATTTGAACCACTAGCTACAACGGATCTCCGCCTTCTCACTTGGACAACAGCATTTTTAGTAGCTATTGTGAGACAGAAGAGCCAGTGAACTGTGTGCTCCTCATGTCAACCCTCCATACCTAAACTTCCACAAGGAGAAAGTAGTCCTGTGCACCAATCCAACCTTCCTGCCCAAGGTTGCGACTCCTTTTCACCTTAATCAGGACATTGTTCTACTGGCCTGTTTCCCTGCTCCGTTGACACCAGTTGAGTGCTCTCTACATAACCTAGATGTCCATAGATGTTTAGCCTTTTATCAATCCCAAACTGAATCATTCAGGAAAACCAAACGATTTTTCATCAAATAGTCAGAACATGACAAGGGAGCTCCTGTTAATACTCAGAGACCTTCTAAATGGATTGTCAAGACAATTGAACTGGCTTATCGCCTTTCAAAACTGGACTTACTCCAAAAGGACACTCCACAAGAACTGTCGCTGCTTCTTCTGCCCTCCATGCGGGCATCCCCTTGCAAGATATCTGCAAAGCGGCTACATGGTCAACTCCATGCACTTTCATGAACCAATATTGCTTAGACATCAAGGCCAGACAGGATTGCTCCTTCGGCCCTGCCATCCTCTCCACAGTTTTCCAGTGACAACACCATCCCGCTTCAGAGTGTGGTAAGCTTGTTAATCACCCATAATGTGTGATGCACGGAGACCACGATGAAGAAAGGCAGGTTGTATACCTGTAACCGTTGTTCTTCGAGTGGTCATCAGTGCATTCACACAATGACTGGGTATACTATATGTATGTATTTTGTTTCTATACTTTTTCTCCCTTATGAGCCATGTTCAATACTGGCCAGCTCCACCTGGGGTCTTCAGCTGAATGGGGAAAGGACAGGCACTCTGACCATTTATACTGTGGTGGGGAGGACGCAGAGTTCCCACCAAAAACCATTAAAGCTCTTAAATCTTCCCAGCAACAGGCACTGCGCAGGTAAAGCACCCATAATGTGTGAATGCACGAATTACCACTCGAAGAACGACAGTTACAGGTAAGCAGCCTGCTTTTTTCAGGAAGTTGCACAAAGAAAAGGCTAGTATTGTGAAAGTAAAAATCATTGAATAAGCAGTAGAAGGAAAAAATATCAGCATTAGCTTTGTCTTATATGAGTCTTTGTTAATGTGTACTCCCTCATCCCTTATTCATGTGTTATATAGGATTTGTTGGAAATATTTGAGTGGTGTGACCTGGAAAGTTAGCTCTTTTGTATTGTAACTACTGATTTCCAGCAACATTTCATGTGGCTTTGTTTGTTTGTTTGCAAAATGTCCTAGGCTTTGCTTGACTTGGTTATTTTTACTTGTTATAGAGCACTGAAGGAGCCAAAAGAGCTGAACTTCATATTTGGGGTGAACATTGAACAACGTCATTTGGATGGGATATTTGTCTATAACTGCAGTCGACTGATTAAGATGTATGAGAAGGTGGGCCCACAGCTGGAGGGTGGCATGTGAGTTACTTGCTGAGATTTTCAACTAACACTTCCTTTAACAACTCCAGAATTGTTTTTACATGAAAGTGGACAAATACTAGAATATTTCCTATATATTTTTACTATAATCAGCCCTCCTGTCCATTTTTGGAGTATAGACGGGTTTGTATACTCTATACTTTACAAAGGTTCTGAGCCTAGGCAAACCAAATGATTTGTAATTTGTAAAAATTATGCACATTTAGCAGAGTGCATTATTCTTCTCAGCTTGTTTTGTTTTTACTATTTTTCTGGTTTCTAGTTTTGTTATTCATTGCTTTCTGCAGCATGGAGGAGTTAGGAGTTTAAAAATTAGGAAGTTAACTGAACCTTCTTCTTCGTGGTCTCTGTGCATCACACATAATGGGTACTGCATCTGCGCAGTGCCTGTTGTCGGCCAGAATACCAAAGCTTTAACGGTTTTTGGCGGGATCTCCTCCCCCCTCCTCCCTGGTATTATATAGGGCGGAGCGCCCGCCATTTTCCTCAATCTTATTTCAACCACCGATCGCATTGCCTCGAGCCATTACCTTATCTCTCTCTCACTGTTTGATTGTTGTTCTCTTATACTCTCCCAGTTGAATTTATCCAAGTTATTTCACCTTGTTTCCCGGTTTAGCTCTTTTCTTCCTTTTCCACCTTCCTATTTAAAAAAAAAAAAAAAGTTCACTATTTCTTTTTACTTACTATCCTTCTTACTACTTTCTCGATGGCTCAATGCGCGGCTTTTCAAAATTGTTCGAAATGCGGGGCCAAAATGTCTCCGACGGACCCGCATGAGCTTTGCCTCCCCTGCTTAGGAGAGGGGCATCGCACCGACAAATGCGGGAACTGCCAGGCCTTCACTAAACAGGCCTGGAAAAATTGAGAAAACTGACTGAGAAAGATCCTTTGGGATCCGTCCTTACTAGCTTCCGACGAGCTTGCCGCCCAGCCTATGTCGGCCGGCCCTTCTATGGTGACCTCCCCTCATCCACCATCCAGGGAGTTGCTTCCGAGGAGACCTCTCGCTCCTCCCATTCCTCACTCAAACAGAAGGAGAAGCTGACGCATTCCGACCACAGGGAGCCATCAGTCCTGAAGAAGGCCAAAAAAGACAAATCGGGCAAACCTAGCCACAAACATAGGCTTGCTTCGGAACCATGTCGAGACTCAAACTCAACCATCCCATCGGTCCAGATGGCGCCGTTGATCCCGATACCCTTGACACCGACACCAAGGGCGTTGATGCAGGTTACTCCGCCCAGATCACCACAGAGGGTTGAGCCCGTGGTCCCAACAATGTTGCATTCACCCGAACCGGTCGTTCATGGGTCGATGTCAGATGGAGAGATCTGAGACTCTCCTCCGCGGTCACTGCCGTGCCACCAACCGGCCCGCTCGCCAACTCCAATGCCATCCTCCCCGGAGGCTCCCCGGAGGTCTACTCTGGCTGAATCCCACCAGCACCACCGCTTGTCGGGGCAATCTGCCAAGTCATGGGTCCAGATGCCATATGAAGGCCCTGAGACTTCGCAAGCCCACTATTGGGGTACACACCTCCGTACAGCTATTATCACCTACTGAGAGAATACAGGCACTGATCTCGACTGGCAAGGGCCAAAGCTCCCTCCACTTCAGCACCGGCGACCTCTTGCCCTCCTCCATCTCCGGCTCAATCCTCCTCTAGTCCTCCATATCCGTACGACTCAGATTCTGAGGATTTGGACGAGTGTTCCACGTCCCCCACGGCAGTTATCTCCACCCAGGGACCTGGGTCACTGGAAGAATCCTATGCCACCTTCAGCGAACTTATGGGCCGCCTGACCCGAGCCTTGGAGATTGAAGTCGAGCACCAGCCTAATACTAACAAGGACAACTTTTACAATATTGTTCATAAGGAACAATCATCCACCATCACTATCCCGTTAATTACAACCCTGTGGGAAGCTGTGAAGGATACATGGACTTCTCCCAACCAGCTTCAATCAACATCTCGGAGGTATGAGTCCATGTACAAGGTTCGAGAGCAGGACATTCCTTCTAAAACACCCAAAGCCCAACTCTATTATGGCCAAGTCTTCCCAGGGACAAAACAACAGGGAACACTTGGCCCCTAGAGATAAGGAGGGCAGAAAAATAGATCTCATGGCACGGCACATCTACGCGGCAATGAGATTTGGCCTTAGAATATCAAATTATGAGGCGACGATGGCGAGGTATCAGTATTTTCTGATGCAGCGATTGGATTCGATCACCTCATTCATCCCGAAGCAGCAGCGGGACTTGGCCCGAGTTTTCATAAGAAAAGCTATGCAGCTCTCTGTTCAGCAGCTCACTACGCCCCATCAACATGTCGACTGCGATTCTTGTGCTCTGGTCGGCTCTGTTGCTCTCTGCCGACAGTCCTGGCTGCATTCCTGTAATTTCCCAGAGGAAACCAAACGACAGATCGAGGGGATGCCTTTCGATGGTTCAGGTCTCTTGCACTACTGGACAGACCACAAGCTTGAGCATATCTATAATGCTTGAGCTACTGCTCGGAAGATGGAGAACCCAGGCTCGACCTGTCGTAAGTGGCATCAGTCTTGATATCCAAGATATCAACCCTATTACCATTACCTTCCACGCCAGCAATTCCCTCAGTAGCAGCAGCAAAATCACATGCAGCCAGCCACTCAATATCAACAAGGCTGCCGCTGCCAACCCGTCGATAAGAGGCAACATTGACAGGTGGCGCAAACTAATCCTCTCTCTCCTACACCCCTTCCCCCTCCCTATGGGGGCCGGCTGCAAATCCAACTTCCTTTTTGGGAGACCATCACATCTGACAAATGAGTACTTTCCATCATTGAATCTGGATATAGAATCAAGTTCGATACCATACCTCCTTCGGGATTGGTACTATATACCGCCCTATTGGAAATCCTTAGAGAGGAGGTATTCCAGCTACTCCATAAGGGAGCAATTCACCGAATCTCCCATTCTGATGGGCTCTACGGATTCTACTCCAGATACTTTATGGTACCGAAATGGGACGGTGGCCTATGTCCCATACTTGATCTAAGGGGCATCAATGCCTTTATTACGACTAAGAAATTTCATATGACCACCCTGCAAAATATCCTACCCTTATTAGAGACAGAAGATTGGTTCGCATCTATAGATTTGAGGGATGGCTATTTTCATATTGGCATCCACCCACATTACAGGAGGTTTCTCCGTTTTACTGTTGGGTCTGACAGTTTTGAATATAATGTCCTCCCCTTCGGACTTGCTACAGCCCCTAGGGTATTTACAAAGTGCATGGCTCCAGTCTGTGCTCACCTTCATCAACAAGGTGTACAAATTTATCCTTATTTGGATGATTGGCTTATCGTCTCTTCTTCCTGAGACTGCCTTGTCGCGGACATTAAAACTACGTGCACCCTTCTGGAGGACGTGGGACTTCGTATTAATAGTGAAAAATCCTGTCTCACTCCTTCGCAGGTCATCGAGTTCATCAGGGCACAACTCAATTCGGTCCGGGCGCGAACATTCTTACCACAGACCCGAATGGAAAGACTTTGTTCAGTAGTCAGGCAGGTTCAAGAGGGTGGATGAATTCAAGCATTGACTATCCAGAAGCTTCTGGGCCGTATGGCTTCAACAATCATGATCGTTCCAGATTGCGAATGCAGTCACTCCAGTTGTGGTTCAACGATGTCTTCCAGCCCCTCCACGATTCCCCGAGACGACGACTCCTCCCCGCCGCCTCAGTTCGCCAGACCTTGACTTGGTGGACAAACACCGACAACCTCGCCATCAGCATTCCGTTTCACCAGCGGCAGCCCTCCATTTCGCTCCATACCGACGCGTCTCTCACGGGTTGGGGAGCACATTGTTCCAATCTGCAGATGCAGGGCACTTGGCAAGCGCATGAGAGAGTCAACCACATCAACTTTCTCGAGCTACTAGCAGTATGCAAGGCACTATGTTTCTTCGAACCCATTCTACGGAACCAGTCAGTGCAGGTGGCCTCCAACAATGTAGTCACCATCTTCTACCTGAACAAACAGGGCGGTACAAAGTCGGTACTGTTGGCCCATCTATCCCTACAGATCTGGGACTGGTGTATCCCCAGAGGAATCTCTCTCGTTGCAATTCATCTGGCAGGAGTAGACAACCAAGAAGCAGACACCCTGAGCAGGAAGATGTCATCAACCCACGAGTGGGAATTGGACGACCAAGTTTGCAAAGACTTGTTTGCCTGCTGGGGCACCCCAACATTGGACCTGTTTGCAACAGCTTCCAATTCAAAGTATGTGACCTGTTGCTCCAGGGCGGGATCGGGTCCGAACTCATGGGGAGACACCTTGATGTTGAGTTGGTCAGATTCCTTCCTATACGCCTTTCATCCGATCCCTCTAATCACCTGCACCCTGGAGAAGGCCGCTCGGGACCGAGCATGAGCCATCCTCATTACACCATGGTGGCCCCGTCAACCATGGTTCTCGACCGTCTTCAACCTGTCCCGATGCAGGTTCCTCCGTCTGCCACGGGTCCTCCATCTGATTACACAGGAGAGAGGGACGGTTCTTCACCCCGACCTCGACACCCTCAACCTTACCGCATGGCTCCTGCACTAACCACTCCTGATCGCTCGCATCGGCTTCAACAAAATACTTCAGCTTCGACATCAGAGTGTCAGTTGGTACTGAACAACCCCACTCAAGTCTCCTCAGAAACTGCATCCTTTCAGCGCGAAATAGACTTCATACTGCAGTCCGCTCTTTGACCATCTACCCATCGGTCGTATGAGGCGAAGTGGAAGCGTTTTACCACCTTTGCGAAAGCCAATCATTTTGCTCCTGGATTGGCTTCCATCGATAACATTCTCTCTTTCTTGCTCTCCTTGCACCAGTCTGGACTTAAGCCTAGCTCTATTAAGGTATACATCACGGCTATATCCCACTTTCGTGGGCCACTGTCTGGTTCCTCTGTATTTTGTCATCTGCTCATCCGTTGCTTCCTTAAAGGACTACAAAATCTCCATCCTCCGACCCGACTGTCGGTACCGACCTGGAGCCTGTCAGTGGTTCTCCATGCACTAACCAAAGCTCCTTTCGAACCCCTTGCAACGACCAATTTAAGGTTACTATCTTGGAAGGTGGCCTTCTTGGTTGCCATAACATCAGCAAGAAGGGCAAGTAAACTCTCTGCCCTCCGCCTGCACCCACCATACCTTAACTTCCACAAGGAAAAGGTAGTCCTGCATTCCGATCCAGCATTTCTCCCCCAAGGTGGCTACAGCATTCCACGTTAACCAGGACATCATTCTTCCAGCATTCTTTCCTTCCCCATCCACTCCGATAGAGAAATCTCTCCATTCCCTCGATGTGCGTTGATGCCTAGCCTTCTATCGGTCACACACAGAATTTCCGGACAACCAAACGCCTCTTCATGAGATACTCCGAGCCTGACAAGGGTGCTGCTATCTCTGCCCAAAAACTATCGAAATGGATAGTTCAGACTATTGAGCGTGCTTACCAGCTAGCCAAGCTAGATCTTCCTGTTGCTCCCAGGGGTCACTCTGCTAGGGCTGTGGCTGCCTCAGCTTTTTCATCAGGCGTACCGCTTCTGGATATTTGTAAAGCTGCCACATGAACAACTCCCTGTACCTTCACCAGGCACTACAGACTTGATGTCCGAGCCAGACAGGACTGCTCCTTCGGACGGGCTGTCCTTTCATCCATCCTTCACTGATGACACCGACCCACATCCGGTTAGTGAAGCTTGCTAATCACCCATTATGTGTGATGCACAGAGACCACAAAGAAGAAAGTCAGGTTGCTTACCTGTAACTGTCGTTCTTCGAGTGGTCATCTGTGCAGTCACACAACCCGCCCTCCAGCCCCACTAGGTGTTGGGGGACAGGACGGTAGTCTCCTTTGGTCGACTCCTCCAGTTTGTGGCGCGCTCTGCTAGGGGGCGATCTGCCGGTCTTCAGAGACTGTACCGGGGGAAAGGGTACAGAGTTCCCACCAAAAACCATTAAAGCTTTGGTATTCTGGCTGACAACAGGCACTGCACAGACGCAGTACCCATTATGTGTGACTGCACAGATGACCACTGGAAGAACGATAGTTACTCGTTCTATAAAGTAGAAGCAACCTGACTTTCTGGTTTGTGCAGCTCATAATCTAACAAGTCTTTTAACATCAAAGTTTCCATAGTAGGAAGTCTTTCTATGTTGTCTTTCACAGACCAGAGTGTTGAGTTGGTGCCCACAAGTATGTGATAGTTTTTTTTCCCCCACAGGGCATGTGGTGGTGTTGTAGGAGTGGTGGATGTCCCTTACTTGGTTTTGGAGCCTACGCATAACAAGCAGGACTTTGCAGATGCCAAAGAGTATCGACACTTGCTTAGGGCAATGGGAGAACATCTGGCTCAGTACTGGAAGGATGTTGAGATTGGTAAGATGCCCTGCAACTTGGGAGTTAGGCATGAAAGAAATAATAATAAGTGTGGGTGTGGGTGAAGATGGGTTACATACAGAGACCATTAACAGAGGAAGGTAGACTGCATAGAGATATCAGTATCAGAGGCATCCTGTACATCATAATTTGAGCTCATTTTTTTCTGTGAAAAATTGCAGCTCAGAAAGGTATAAGCAAGTTCTGGGATGACTTTGGCTATTTGTCTGCTAACTGGAACCAGCCTCCATCAAATGAATTGCGTTATAAACGGCGGAGAGCCATGGAGATCCCCACTACTATTCAGTGTGGTAAGTTAGGCTGGGTCAAGATTCTAGTATTCGGAGGTTAGAAGGGTGCACCATGGAGATGAAATTCCTATCACTTTGCTGTGGCAGCAAAACAACCAAGTGCAGTAACAGTTTGTACTTTGCAGCCACTTCTTTCATTTCCCCCTGCACTTATACCTTGGAAACCTAGATGTTATCCTTGGGAACTTCTGTGAAATGAGGCATTCTGAAATGTACAAGCTAAGATATATTCTGAAATGTACAATGTTTCAGATACATTCTGAAATGTACAAGCTAAGATATAAAAGGACATGAAAGTTTCACTATCATGTGAGAACTGTCCCATGCATTCCATTTCTACCTCCTATTTAAAATGGGTTGAAAAGTGAAGGGACAATAGCATTTCTAAGACCTTCCTTGTGGGTTCTGCATGCAGGCAGGCTTGGTTCAGCAGGTTCTACAATATCCTCATTGTGTGGTGTGTTCTTGTGTGGTAGACCTGTGTCTGAAATGGCGGACCCTCCCCTTCCAGCTCAGCTCTGTGGAGCAAGAATATCCAGATAAATGGGTGTGTGCTATGAACCCCGATGCTGAGCAGGACAGGTAAGTATTTTCTTCATGGTCATGTAGATGACCTTAGACTTAGAGTGACTGAGAGACACTTGCCTGAAAGTCACCGACTGAATTCATAGTACAGGTGGGATTCTAACCAGGGGCTTCCTGATTCAGTAACATGAAGGGATTGGGACTATGTGAGAGAAACATAAGTTACAGCTCCAGAGAGGCACTTGATAGGTTACTGTAGGCAGATCCAGCAGGGATCCTTTTCATTTTCTTCTCATACAACCCGCCCGCCGGCCCCGCTCAGTGTCTGTGAGTGGATGCATTGACAGCTCGATGTCGATGAGAGATGGCACTTTCAGTACCGACCATCTCCTTTACAGTACCGACAAAAAAAAAAAATCCATTAAGATACCGTACGTTCGGTCGCAAAGACTGAACAAAATGGCGGACGCTCCGCTCTTAATAGGCCACAAGGGGGAGGGGGAGCGGAGCTTCCCGCCAAAAAACCATTAGCTATCAATCTTCCGGCCAAAGGCACTGCGCAGGCACAGTACCCATATGTGTGACTGCACAGATGGCCACTCGAAGAACATCAGTTACAGGTAAGCAACCTGCTTTTCTCCAGAGCTGGAATGGGACTGCAATCTCTTGGTGAAGCATTTATGAAACCGTGGAAACACATTTTTCCTGTGCATTTCCACATTTTCCACTAATAACAAAGACGTTAGCAAAAATCAAGAAAGACTAAACATCATGCATAATGCTTACACCATGATGGCTGAGACAGGCGTGGTTTCCAACATTACTGCACTGGTCTGAACAGACATACCGCCACCTGCCACAAACTCCGGACCTCATCTCTCAGGAATGGGAGAGAATCTTACACCCAGACCTACCAACACTAAGGTTGACTGCTTGGCTGATCCGATGATACCAGGACCATCAACTGTGTGCCCCGAAATTCAGTTCATCCTACAAGCTATATTATGGCCAAATATGAGACAATCCTATGCGACAAAGTGGAAATGGTTTTCACACTACAGAATTGAACATGGATTTGAAGCATCCACCAATACAATCAATAAAGTCCTGCATTTCTCCCATTCCTTAACATCAAAGCAGACTAAAACCAAGCTCCGTAAAAATATACCTGTCCACAACCTCACGCTATAGGGGTCGAATTGAGGGATTTCCATCTTCTCCCATTCACTTGCATAACCTCTTCCCAACCTGAATCCTCTGATCCATTCCAACTTGGAGCCTATTGGTAGTGCTTCAGGCTTTGACAAAACCACCCTTCGAACCACTCACAGTGACTGACCTTAGCCTTTTTTCATGGAAGACCTCCTTTTTTGTGGCAGTTACATCAGCAGGGAGGGTAGGTGAGCTTTGCACAGATTATATCCTCTATAAATATACTTCCACAGAGAAAATGTCATTCTGCACCTTGATCCCAAGTTTCTACTGAAAGTAGCCATCGCTTTCCACTTGAGCCAGGATATCATCCTACCAGCTTTCTTTCCATCACCCACATCTATGATTGAGTGATCCTGCCATGTATGGAGGGCACTTGCCTTTTGTCAATCCCACACAGAATCATTCTGTAAATTGAAATGACTTTTTGTCAAATACAGCAAGCATGCCAAGGGCAAACTGATTACACCACAATGACTATCCAGCTGGATCGTGGACACAATCAAACTAGCATACCAGTTGGCCAAATTGGACTTACCTGACAAACCCAAAGGACACTTGACCAGAGCTATTTCCACTTCAACATCTCCTCATTCCAGCATCTCACTGGAGCAGCTCTGCAGAGCTGCTATGTGGTCAACACCATCCACATTTGTCCAACATTACTGACCAGATATAAAAGACAAGACTGTTCCTTCAGACGTGCTGTCTTCTCAGCAGTACTCCAGTGAGCACACCTTCCCACCTCCTGAATCAGTAAGCTGATATCACCCATATGTGTGATTCACAGAGAACACAAAGAAGGAGAGCAGGTTGCTTACATGTAACTGTCATTCTTCGAGTGGTCATCTGTACATTCACACAACCCACCCACTGGCCCCACATAGAGGTCAATGGAAGTACATCAGAATTCTCTCTTACTAAGAACAAGTATGAGTTTGACAGTGAACTGTCAGTTTCCAGCTGGACTGACAAAATGGTGGGAGCCTGCTTATTTATACCAGGGGAAGGGGGGCTGGGCTCCTGCCAAAAACAGGTTAGGACAATCTTCCCAAACTAGGGCAGTGTGCAGATGACCACTTGAAGAATGACAGTTACAGGTAAGCAACCTGCCCTTCTTTCAGCAGGTCTGATCTGGAAAGGAAAGCCCCTTTCAGTTAGTGCAGAAAGCCTTATTCATGTGTGTGCCTCCAGGGAGAACTTGCAAAAAAAAAAAAAAAAGAACAGGTTTCGTTCTTGCAGAACTAGATGAAAGAATTCCCTTGAAAGATCACACAGTTATCTGTACAACATGAAATAAATGAACCCTTAAGGAACAAGTTCATAGCTTGGGGGTGCTTTTTGAGCCAGTTTTGTCCCTTGAGGCCCTGGTGGCTTTAGAAGCTCAGAGTGCCTTCTACTAGTTTTGGCTGATAGCTCAGCTATTCCCCTGTCTGGACAGAGACAACCTACTGCCAGTGCTCTGTGCTCTGGTAGTCTCTAAGCTAGATCTCTGCAGTGCACTGTATGTGAGGCTATGCTGAAGACTGTTTGGAACCTGCAGCTTTGGCAAAATACGGAAACCAGAGTAATAATAGGGATCAGGTGGTCTGATCATTTAGCACCAATTCTGGCCCATTTTGCACTGGCTACATGTTTCTGGGGCCAATCCAGGATGCTGATTTTGACCTATAAAGCACTACTACCTTGGGACCACAGTACCTGACAGAATACCCCTCCCAACCTTCATTTGCCTGGGCAGTACGGTCAAGTTCTGTGGCCAAGGGAGGCTTAGATGGTGGCCACAAGGAGAAGGGCCTTTTCAGTGGTGATTCCCCAGTTATAAAAAGAGGTCTGCCTGGCACCAGCGTTACTATCTTTTTGGTGCCAGGTAAAGGCTATTTTCTGTTTCAGGGCATTTAATTAGTTACTGGGGCCTGGTACTTGTTTGACGGGGTTTAATAGGATTTTCTTAAGTTACTGTAATTTTGTTATTGTTGTTTTAAATATGGTTTTAAATTTTGTTAACCTTTATGATGTTCTAATATGTTGTAATGGTATGTTTATATACCACCTGGCTGAGCTTTATAACCACCTGATTGTCTTTTCCTCCCCCTTCACAGGTGTGATGCTCCTGAACAGAAGCAGAAGGTTCCTCTGAGTTACCTAAAGAAGGAGAAGTCACAGGAGGATAAGCAGAAAGAGCTGACAAATAAAATTCGCCAACAGCAGGAGAAACTGGAAGCCTTACAGGCAAGTCTGAACACTGGTTCCTCCCTTGGGAGATTTTGTATGCTTTAGAACTAGCTGAGTCAGGACCAATCAATTAAAGCAACCCTGGTAAGATAGAAGTTCTCTGTGTGAGAGAGTGGTTCCTGAGTCAGGAGATGTGCTATTGCCTGTTCTGAATCAGATTGCACTCCTTTAGAAAGATCAGGTTCATAGCCTGGGGGGCTCTCCTAGATCCATCGTTGTCACTGGTGTCCCAACATTTTGCCAGCTTTAACTGGTTTGCCAGTTACAGCTTCTCCTTGACAGGGGTACCCTGATGACAGTGCTAGGAGTACCTTTATAAATTATGGGAAGAAGATATACACATCTTTTGAAAGTATATAATTCAATATTGTTTGGTGAAAAAGTGCTAGAATCGTGGAAAATAGCAAGAATTATAGCTATTCTAAAACCTGAAAAAGACATTATACTTCCCACCACATATAGAGAAATAACATTACAAAATCATGATCAATTTTTTTTTCTATTTTGGCACAAAGATTGAACAGCTTTTATTACAAATTACATTCACATTTCAATGATCAGTAAGGGTTTATACCAGGAAGGCAAATGTCAGATGCGATTTGTAGGGCACTAAGGCAACAGAAAATAAATGGAAAGTGCTGTTAAAGCCTTTGATCACTTGGAATGGCGATATATGTTTAATTTATTGGAGAAAATGAACATGGATGGAATGTTAATGTGCTAGGGAATCTATATGAAGTTGCAAAGGCCACAGTAATGATAAACTGTATAAACTCTGAAAAATTAGAATTACTAAGAGGAACAAGTCAAGGAGATCCTCTGTCTCCTTTAAGGTTTGCTTTGGCGATTGAACTGCTCACGGCTTATATTAGGGAAAATGATTTTAAAATTTTGAAAAGATAGTGTTACAGGTGCCTGTAATTTCAAGCCTGGTTAACTGCAAGATGTTCTGTGTGTGGCTGCTGTTAAGACTGGTTCAAGAGCTGGAGCTAGTGCAGAGGGCAGAGAGCTGTTCGCTTTCAGCACATAATTCCTTTTCTGTGTGAGCACTGGGTATGTGTTTTCATCCTGTTCAGTCACTAAGGTTATTGGATGGCATGTTACTGGTGGTTCCACATGGACCTACAGCCTGAATGGACTGGCAGGTACCAACATTGCTATGCTTTCTGTGCTTCTTGGAAGTATTTGTATTTCTAAACTTGCCTGAACTGACCAGTCACAGTTCTATGGATTATGTTTTTAACGTGCTGTTCACCATTGGAGAGTTTCCATGTTGAATATGAAGCAGCTTATAAATGTTGTGAAATTAGATATATAAACAATTAGCGTTGTCTGCTTAGTTGTCTATACAAAGGCACCCTCTTATCAGTATCCATTAGGATGGCTACATCACTCTAAATTCAGTTGTTCCTATCACCCAGAACCAGTCTCCATCAACCAATGACTGCCAATCTTATTTCCTAGACTATGCCCCCAGGAGCAAAGCTATGTGATGAGATAGAGTCTTTCTGTTACGGGCTTCTGTAAAAGGCGGGGAAATAACAGCCATGGCAACATAGTTGAGTTCCCCTCTCCAATTTAACCCCTCCCCTTCCCCATATTTGCCAGGGTTTCCCAGCCATAGCCCTGAAAGTCAAACTGAAAGTTCTCTTTGGGAAACATCTGGCTCAGCCTTATACAACTGCAAGTATTTGACTTCTATGAACAAGCCCTCACAGATAGAATTGTCATATCACTCCCAAGTGCAGTGCTTTTCAAAGTATTTATTCAGATACCAGTCAACAGATTCGCATGTATGAACCAGCCTCTTAATTTGATTTCATTAAGCTGGGTTTTGCTGAATCAGCCAGAGTGTGTGAAGAGGTTTGGTTTTAGGTGAATAATGGGTGTTCTTCATAATGTTGACCATTTTCCAATTGTTCTGTCTCCAGAAAACCACTCCAGTACGTTCCCAAGCTGACCTGAAGAAACTGCCCTTGGAGGTCTCCACACGTCGTGTGCAAGAGGTAAGCGCCATCCCTCTACACTGTAGAGTCTACAGCCAACTTGCAGACCTGTTCTCTGTTTCAGTGATCTGAGCTAACTCCATCATTCTCCTCCTTGCAGAACTCAGATTTGCTGAGCAGGCCGCAGCGGCCACGGTCTCCCCCTCTGCCAGATGTGATTAAGAATGCTCCCAGTAGGCCCCCAGTCCCGCCTCCTCCTTCCAGGCCCCTCACCCAACAGCGGAAGGGGGCTCCACCTCGACCAGCCATCAGCTCTTCCAGGCCACAGAGTATAATATCCAGGGAAGAATCAAGCCTTTCCAGGATACAGCATCATCACATGGATCCTGGAAGGTCTACAGCCCCTGTAGTAAGACCTCAAGGAAGTGCAAGGACACCTCCAGTGCCTCTTCAAAACTACAAGAGCCCTCATCCATCCCCTAGCTCAAAACACTTGAAAGTGCTACTGCCAACAAAGAAATCCCCAGTCATGAAGCCTATGCAGGTAAGATTCCAGTTTCTAAATGAACAAGGGGAGAAGTTTTTCTACTTTTACTGTGAATAGTCACTACTTGGAATGAGCTTCCACGGAAGGTGGTTGAGGCCTCATCGGTGCAAGGATAGGCTAGACATGCACATGGTGGGCATGTCGAGAGAGGAGCTGTCTAGAGCCGGTGGTTAGACTAGATGGCCCGGGAGGGCCCTTCTGACTCGCTCTGTTTCTACGTTTCTACTTCATGCTTAAACAAGTCTCAGGAACTTTCTTCTGGATATGTGTTCTGTTTATATACAGTGAAAATAACTTTTTAGAGAAACACAAAAGAGAGCATACCCAGTGAATCCAGTAGTTGTGCTAGTAGGCAGAAAAGTAGATGCTATGATACACTAAATTGCTGCTGCCAAAAATATTTAGGCACTATAATATTCTAGGAAAATTATAGTATATTCTATACTCATATCATGCATTTCTCCACCACTGCTTTATGTATTCCCTCCACTGGTGGGAATGGGAAAAAGCTCATAATCATGGTGCCACTACAAAGAGATTATAGAATACACTTGATCATTATAAAGAAGAAGTGGAGAAATTTTCATAGCAGTAGCCTCCTGTTGAGTGTGATGTCGAACTCTGTCACTACTACTTCTGTCTTGTGTGTATTTGTGTATGGTGGGCTAGGGGGTTTAATCATCACAACAAAATAGGTTATTTGTGCTGAGCTATTTTAGTTGGTTCACAACAGGAGCAATAAGGCTTAAGTTCCCCCAGAGGCCTACAAGAAGCCACTGCTATGTGCAGGGATTGAAATAAAGCAGCAGTGCCAAATAGTAGACATGGTGCTAGCAAGGAGTTAAACGCAGTACACTGTGTCAGTCACTCTGTACACAGTGATATTTCAGAAATACAGTATTTAATGTGGACATTTTAAAAAATCATCTGGATTTTCCTGGTTCTTCCTTGTGGTCCCTGCATCACACATTTGAGCTCTGCACCTGCACAGAGCCTGTTGTCAGGAAGATTTCCTAGCTAGCCTCATTTGATGGGAGCCCTTCCCCTCCCACCTCTTGGTGTATCTGAGTCTCTTCTTCCTTGGTTCTCTTCCAACTGCCGTTGTGGGTGCCCCGGGATTTCTTCCTCATTCACTATTGTTTTTCTGACTTGTATTCTCCAGTATTCTAGCCCTTTGCTCTGTTTTTACTCTTTCTACTGTGTTACTCCCTATTTTTTCCTAGGCTACCCTTATTCCAAAAGAAATTCTACACAAGAAGCCCTTCTATTGTTGGTCTCTCCTACCAAGTGCATTTGTTTCCTTTCTCCTTCTTTCCTGATAGTACTCAAGGCACTATTTCAGAAGTGTGTCAAGTGCAGAAGCTGTTTGCCCCCAACCAATAGGCATTATTTTCACCTCTTCTGCTTGGGAGAGGGCACCTTGTGGAGACCTGTCCTCATTGCCAGGCCTTCACTAAACAGGCCCAAAAGAACCAAATGGGCAGGTGACAAGCTTAACTTTGGTATTGCACCCTTCATGCTACTGACTTGGTGTGCAACAGTATCACCTGTCTACCTCGCAGACAACAGGATTACCACACCCACCATCTGTACTGGCAGGGGCTCCTGCAGTCACGCTATCCATTCTGTCTACCCCAGGATGTTTGGCTGAGGCCCATCAGGCCAGGAATGTCAAAAAGATGGCCAAGGTGGAGAAAGTTAAGCATAAGAAGTGGTCTTGGGTGCACCACTCCCCATCTGTATAGTGTGTGACCATGACTGTTATGTCCCTGATAATACACCAATCCCAAATTCTGAGGACCAGTTTTGTCAGTGGGATGAACCAGGTGTTGTCTTGCTTGTTGATTTAAAATATAATGGTTGTGTTGTCCATGGCTATCTGGACATGCTGACTGTGCAGGGAGAGCGTGGAGGGAATCAGGGCCTTGTGGATGGCTAACATCTACAGGACGTTGATATTTATTTATTTGGAATTCTTGTATGCCGCCCCATTCGCACAAGCCTCGGGGCGACTTCCAACACATAAATAAAGGGAACACACTCTCCACTCAGAGGTTGATGAATTGGGTCACAAGTATCTTCTCTCAGGCATACAAAATAGCTGGCCTTCAACTCACAGCCAACCCCTCACCCCACTTCACACAAGCATTAACTTTGTCTACAGCCCTCCTCACAAGGATCCTCCTGCAAGACTCTGCAGAGCTACCTTGTGGTTCCACGCCCTTGACATTTGACTAACACTACAGGCTAGGTGTTCATACAAGGGCTAGTTGTTCCTTCAGCATAGCAGTCCTCTCCCTCATCCTCCAGTCTAATTCCTCTGGTGTAATCCCTTGAGTAAACATGCTAGTTGCTCATATGTGTAATGCACAGAGACCACAAAGAAGAAAGGCAGATTGGTTACCTGCAACAGTCATTCTTTGAGTACAGGTCATCTGTGCATTCACACAACCCACCTTCTTGAGCCCATTACCTTGGGTTCTATTCACCCCTTGCTTTTAAGGCCACAATCTCCGTGAAACTGAGGAAAAAAACAGGAACTCCTCCTAGATATACGAAGGAGCAGAAAGGGAGGGGCTCCCACCAAAATGAGTCTACCTAGGAAATCTTCCCAACAACAGGCCCTGCACAGGTACAGAGCCCATATGTGTGAATACACAGGTGACCACTCAAAGACCAACAAACACAGGTAAGCAACTATTCCTGCCTTTCTTTCTCTTACAAGTAGCTGCTGTGTTCTGATACTTTTGTACACCTGCCTTTTGGAAATGAAAAGGGGTTCACAGTGATAATTGAGTAATATTCTTTTGTTGTTGATGTTGTCTCTGTAGGCTTCCAGTTCCCGGAAGAGAAGCATTAGCACAATAGAGGGTGAATTGGAGGAGGAGAGTGAGCTAAGAAAAGAGAAAAGAAAACAGAGCAAACCCATGACAGTAAAGGATGAGAAGAAAGATTCCAGTGAGGTGGTGGTGGAAGTGAGTGTGCAGTTTTTCAAGTCTGGTTTGCTATTCAGAATTGTTGGAAGTTAGCATTAATGTTATTTCACACTGTGCCATTCTTCCTGGAGTTTGTGTCAAAGTATAGGTACTAACATTGGGGAGAAAACAGCTGGACATACAATTACAGTGATCAGATCCAAAATAAGTGGCTATATCCACTGGATTTATTCACCAGTTGAACTGAAGCAAGGGTCCTCAAACTTTTTAAACGGGGGGCCAGTTCACTGCTCCTCAGACTGTTGTGGGGGCTGGACTATAGTTTGAAAAAAAAATATGAATGAATTCCTATGCACACTGCACGTATCTTATTTGTAGTGGAAAACAACAGGAAAAAACAATACAGTATTTAAAATGAAGAACCATTTTAATCAACATAAACTTATTAGTATTTCAATGGGAAATATGGGCCTGCTTTTGGCTAATGAGGTTGTCAATGTCTGGTTCCATATTCGCTGCTCTCTTCTGTATTCTAGCTCCTTTCTTCTGTATTCAGAGCCAATGCATGTGTGCAATAGGGGTAAGAGCCAGCGCATGCACAATTCACAGTGGCAAGACAAGCACAGCAGCAGGAGCTAGCTAGCTGTTTGTTTGTTTGTTTGTTTGTTTGTTTAGAGTTTTTGTATGCCGTCCCATCGCTTATAGCCTCGGGACGGCTCACATAAATAAACAAACATAGTGCAAAATACAATTAAAATCCGGAAACACCTGGGCTGCACAATTAAAACCTATAGATATTAAACGTTATTAAAATATTTCTTAAATAAAAAGGTCTTAGCCTGGCGCCAAAAAACAAATAATGACAGCGCCAGGCAGACCTCTCTGGGGAGCGCATATAACCAGAGCTAGCAGAGAGAGCTGGCGCATGCACAGTTGAAGGGAGCTGTCACAATTTGGGATGTGTGCCAGCTCTCTGCTTGTCTCCAAAACTGAAAGAGTTTCAGAGTACGCCTGCACCGGCTCAGGACTTTCAGACTCATTTGGAGATCATTTTCTCTGAACGAGTCCGTAAGCTCTGAGGCGGGCTGGGTAAATGACCTTGGCGGGCTGTATCTGTCCCACGGGCCATAGTTTTGAGGACCCCTGAACTAAAGGGTGCATTTTCACTGCTCAGGAAAATAGAGATCATATGAGGGGTGATACAGATTATATGTACCTATTTGCCTGTTTCCTTTCCTGCCCACTTTTTCCTGTATCTTTTAAAATAAAAGATTGCTTGCTCTTATTGATTCTTCTCTTTCTTAGTTCTTTTATTTTTTAAAAAACTCGCCTTTCTTTTTCTTTTCTTGACAGCCATGCTTCTAGAACACAAACTGTTCCTTCCTATCATCCAGGTTAAAAATATCCAGGAATAGGCTGAGCAGTGACTTTAGCTCCTGTATTGTGGATCCTGTGTCTTATGCTGCCTGCCCTCAGCACGGTTGCAGCTTTCCACACTTGTTCAAACCTGGCACATGGTAAAGTTGAATGCCACAGCCCTGTCCCTCAGCCTCAGAGGCTATCAGATAGGATTCCACTCTACCTCACTCTTGTTTTTCAAGTCATCTCCAACTTACGCTGATCCTATGAATGAAAGCCCTCCAAAATGTCTCACCATAGTGTCCCTGCATAGTTGTTCTAAGTTCAAGGCTGTGACCTCCTTTATGGGGTTAACCTATCTCATATTTGGTATTTCCCTTCTGCCTTCAACTTTCCCTAGCATGATTATCTTCTCCATAGGGTCTTGCATTCTTGTGATATGTCCCAAGTATGACAGCCTCAGTTTTGTCATTTTTGCTTCCAGGGAAAGTTTTGATTTGATTTAGGACCACTTCTTTAGGTTTCTGTCAGTCCAGGGTATTCACAAACTTCTCTAGCACCATGTTTCAAACACATCAGTTTTCCTCCTGCCAGCTTTCTTCCCTGTTCTTCACTGTTGTACACAGTGATTGGGTGTACAATAGTGGGTATGATCTTGACTTTGATTTCCAGTGAAATGGCCTCATATTTAATGATCTCTTCTAGTTCCTTCTTTGCTGCCCTTCCAAGTGTCAGTCTTCTGATTTCTTAGCTGCAGTCTCCCTTTGAGTTGATGACTGAACCAAGGTATACAAAATCTTTCACAATTTCTTCATTGTTACCAGTAAGATACTGTAATTCTACTGTGGTCATTATTTTAGTTTTCTTGATGTTCAGCCGCAGTCCTGTTTTTGCACTTTCCTCTTTTACTTTCATCAGGAGTTGCGTCAAGTCATTGCTGCATTCTGCCAGTAAGATTGTATCATCTGCCTAACTTAGATGATTTGCTTTCTCCACCAATTTTCATTCCTTGCTCTGATCCTAATCCAGCTTTCATGATATTTTATGTGTATGAGTTAAATAGGGAACTAGAAAACACCCTTATTGTGGCCCCTTTATCTATAGGAAAACATTCTGTTTCTCCATATTATATCCTCACAGGAGTTTCTTGTCCACACTGTAAGTTACACATCTAGACAATCAAGTGCTGAGGCAACCCCCCCACCTCATTTCTTTCAGAACTATCCATAGCTTCTGATCCATAAAATCGAAACATAAACTGGTATTCTTGGTGCGCAATACTTGCAATATGGTCTCTAGTGCCTCTTCCTTTTTGGAATCCAGATTGAATATCATACATCTCTCTTACTTTTTTGTCATGGCCTCTGTCCATCACACATATGGGTGCTGCCCCTGTGCAGTGCCTGTAGCCGGGAAGATTCAAAAGCTTAACGGTTTTGGCAAGAACACCACACCCCTCCCCCCTCATAGTATAAGAAGGCGGAGTGCCTGCCATTTCCCCAGTCTTCTTGTGACCACCGTTCGCTGTGCCTCGAGCCTTTCATCTCTTACCGTAGATATACTTGACTGGTGCATCCCAAGAGGAATTACTCCTCTTGCCATTCACCTTGCCGGTACCGAAAACAAGGAAGCAGATGCTCTCAGCAGATGGATGTTGACAACTCATGAATGGGAGTTGGATCGCCAAGTCTGTCATCACCTTTTTCAACTATGGGGCCCTCCGGACATAGACCTTTTTGCCACACCCACCAATTCGATCTGCAAGACGTGTTGCTCCCGAGCAGGCATCCGTCCGAACTCAGTTGGGGACGCTCTCATGGTTCCATGGACAGACAGATTTTTCTTCACATTTCCCCCAATACCGGTAGTTATGAGGACTTTAGCCAAAATCAGTCAGGACGATGCTTGAGGGATCCTTGTCACTCCTTGGTGGTCTCGTCAGTAGTGGTTCCCCACCATCCTTAGCCCCTCCAACAACATCTTTCAGCGGCTTCTACATCATTTAACTCAAGATGGAGCAGTTCAGCATCCAGACCTTCATTCGTTGAATCTGACGACCTGGCTAATCCAATGAGCCCTACTACTTCATCGATACCGACAGCCTTGTTGGATTTAACACCAACCTGGCAGCTCCCTACCATGGCCGTACCTTCATCTCCGGTAGCATAAAATGACTCTTCATTGAATCCAAGCACTCTACATCCAGACATACAATTCATTCTTCAGTCTGCACTAAGACCTGCTACTCGCCATTCTTATGCGGCTAAATGGAAGCATTTTACTTCATTTGCTGATACCAATCATTTTGTCTCTCAATTGGCTTCCATTGAGAATATTCTCCAATTTCTACTGTTTCTACACCAGACTGGACTGAATCCTTCTTTGATTTAAGTTTACATTGCAGCTATTTTGCATTATCGTGGCCTGGTTGAGGGTTCTCCAATGTCCTTATGCGGCGGTTCTTGAGAGGATTACAGCATCTCCAGCCACCAGTTTGATTAGTCATTCTGACATGGAGCCTTTCCATCATTCTACAAGCGCTCACTAAACTTCCCTTCAAACGTACTGACTTGTGTCTACTGTCTTAGAAAACGGCTTTCCTCGTAGCCATCACATCAGCTAGGAGAGCTAGTGAACTTTGTGCTCTCCATATTGATCCTCCTTATCTCAACTTCCACAAGGAGAAGGTTGTTCTCTGCATCGACCCAGCTTTCCTCCAAAAGGTTGTTTCACCATTCCATATTAATCAGGACATTATGTTACCAGCTTTTTTCTCTACACCTTTGACTCCAGTAGAGCACTCATTACACTCTCTCAACATTCTTTGCTGCTTAGCCTTTTATCAATCCTGGACTGAGTCTTTTCGGAACACAAAACATCTCTTTATCAAATATTCTGAACATGACAAGGGCTCCCCGATCAGGTCTCAAAGGCTCTCTAAATGGATCATCCAAACCATTGAGCTCACTTATCAGCTCTTCAAGTTAAAGTTGCCTGTTATGCCCAGAGGCCACAAGAGCTGTTGCAGCCTCTTCTGCCTTCTCCGCTGGCATTCCGCTGCATGACATTTGCAAGGCGCCACCTGGACTACCCTTTGCATGTTTGCCAAGCATTATCGCCTAGACGTTCATGCCAGACAGGACTGCTTCTTTGGTCGCACAGTCCTCTCTTCAGTTCTTCAATGATGACACTGTCCCACCTCTGGATGTGATAAGCTTACTAATCACCCATATGTGTGATGCACAGAGGCCATGACAAAGAAAGGCAGGTTGCTTACCTGTAACTGTCGTTCTTCGAGTGGCCGCCTGTACATTCACAGAACCCACCTGCCAGCCCCACTAACTGTTGGTGACTGGGTTTATTGAACCAGTTTGACTAGGTGATTGTATGTATTTTTCATACTTCCCTCATGTGCCCCTTTGAGAGCACATTTGATTATGATATGAATGCGTAATGCTTACAGCCTCCACTTGGGGGCGAACGGTCAATCTTCAGTAGACTGGGAAAATGGCGGGCACTCCACCTTCTTATACTATGGTGGGGAGAGGTGCGTAGTTCCCACCAAAACCATTAAGCTTTTGAATCTTCCCGGTTACAGGCACTGTGCAGGTGCAGCACCCATATGTGTGAATGCACACAGATGGCCACTAGAAGAATGACAGTTACAGGTAAGCAACCTGCTTATATACATATGGTAATATTCTTCAATGAGCATCACTTTACTTGCGTGGGAAATTAGAGCAGTGTCTCAATGGTTGCTGCATTCTTTTGCATCTCCTTTCTTGAAGATTGGAATGTATCTTGAACATTTCCAGGCTTTGGGCCATGTTTTGTTTTCCATATTTGTTGGCATATTCTTGTTAGGAATTGAACTGATTCATTCTCTTCAGCTTGAAATAGTTCTGTTGGAATCCAGCCTACTCCAGGTGCTTTTTTCCTTGTAAGCACTTTCAAAGCAGCTTTCACTTTACTTTGTAATATTGCAGGCTCTTCCTCATAAGTTTCCATGTTGAAGTCTGTCATCCTTTCACCTCTTCTATATAGGTCTTTAGTATATTCTTTCCAACTTCTCTTTATTGTTGAATAGTATGTTCCCTTTTTTGTCTTTCAGCATTCCTACTCTAGATTTGAATTTCTCTTTGATTTCCTGGATCTTCAGGAAGAGGTCTCTCATTTTTCCTCTTTTGTTGCTCTTTTCTGTTTCTTCATAATGGTCATTGTAATAGTTATTCTTGTCTCTACATGATAGGTGCTGAAAAGTTACATTCAGGATTCTGACCCTATTTCTATCACTGTTTGCTTTTGCTTCTTACCTGTGCCTCAGCAAGTGTGAGTGTAAGGCCTTTTCTTTCTTCGCTAATAATGTCTCTAGTTTCAGTCCAGAGTTGTTCTGGCTCACAATCAATTAAGTTGAGTAATGAACATTTGTTCCTTATGCAGACTTTATCTCCTGCTTTCAACTACCCAATCTACATAATTTCTGTATTGACCATCTGGTGATACGCATATATATAGACATTGGAGTATGTATTTGTGATAAACAGATTGTTGGTGTCACAGAATTCTATGAGTCATTCTGCAGCTTCATTTTTTATCACTAGGACAAATTCTCCTACAGCATTTGATTCTGCTTTGTTTCTTACTTTTGCATTCCAGCCACCTAGGATCATCTTCCTAGTTTCTTCTGTAACACCTTCATAAAAGTTTTCAGTTCCTTCTTCAATATCTGTTGTTGAACTGTAGACTTGGATGATGGTTATGTTGATAGGTTTTCCACTCATTCCATTTCATATTGTTTAGTCCAAATTTGCACTGTACAGTGGTACCTTGCCTCATGAACGTAATCCATTCCCTGACTCTGGTCGCAACCCAAATTGGTTGTGAGCCAAGTCAAATTTCTCCATAAGGTTCAATGTAAATAAGGTTAATCTGTTCTGTCACTACTTTTTTTAAGCACAAAAATTTGAAGCAAAGTGACAAAGAACAACAAAGTTCGCAGCCATCTCCCCCTCCCCCCCCCCACTCCGAGCACAACCCGATCGTGCCTGTCTTCCCTGCATGAGTGTGACTGTGATCACGGCCATGGACAGTCGCAGTCACGCTCGGGCAGGGAAGACAGACACGATTGTGACCACCTTCCATCCCCCAAGCATGATCGCGGCCATATCTCCTCTCCCCCACCCCACCCCCGGCCGCATGACTGCGATTGCGCCCATGTTCCCTGCACGAGTGCAACCACAGCCATCACCCCTCCCCCCAAGCACAATTGTGGTCATTTCGCCCCCCCCCCCCACAAACACAGTTGCAGTTGTGCTTGTGCAGGGAAGACGGGCGCAATCACAATCATCACCCAATGTGGTGTTTGCGACCTGAGGCAAAATATTTCTGTTCACGACCCGATTTGGTCGCGAACTGAGGCATTTGTGAGCCGAGGTACCACTATATTTCCTTATTGCCTGTGCTACATCTTGCCCCTCAGTATTAAAGCTACTGTATTTCTTCTGAATTTTTCTTTTCCAGAGTAAAATGCTTTGTGTTTCTCTCATTGAAAATGTCCCATTCCAGTCCACTTTAGTTTGCTTGCACCAAGTACTGTAAAGTTTAGCCATTTCATTTCTTGCTTCATGGTTTCCAGGTTGCCTTGATTCATACTTCTGACATTCCATGTTCCAAATGTATGTGTCTTCACTGTTAGGGAATATCAGATTTATACCACCCTCCATCATGTTGGGACTGCAAGTGACGCAGTGGTTTAAACCACTGTGCTGCTGGGGTGGTTGATCGAAAGGTCGCCGGTTCGAATCTGCACAACAGAGTGAGTTCCTGTTGCTCTGTCCCAGCTCCTGCCAACCTTGCAGTTTGAAAGCATGCAAATGCAAGTAGATAAAAAGGTACCACTTCGGTGGGCAGGTAACAGCGTTCTGTGCACTTCGGTGTTTAGTCATGCCGGCCGCATGACCACGGAGACTGTCTGCGGACGAACGCTGGCTCCCTCGGCCAGGAAACGGAGATGAGCACGAGCCCCCACGAGTCAGGCATGACTGGACTTAATGTCAAGGGGAAACCTTTACCTGTACCTTTACCATCATGTTACATGACGTGTGTTTACTACAGGGAAAGCATATATTAATATAAAATGGGAAGGTAGGTTTGCAGCAATGGTCTTTTGCTATTGATGGCAAATTTCTCTGGTTCTAACATATTTCATGTTTACAAATAATACTTTGCTACCAAACTACCCTTTTAAATTCTTCCTGGCCCCCCACAATTAATGCAAATGAAAATGTCCACAAGTTACTTTTGAATTATATTTTTAGCAGGCTCCAGGCTTTTATTTAATAAAATGCTCAGTGAAGATTCTTGCTTTCTCTTTGGTTTCAGCTCACAGATAGTGCAGGGGAAGAAGAATTGGCAGAATTGAAAAGAGCACAGAAAGGTAAGTAAGTATTTTGGACTCTATACCCTGCTTGATTTTCAGGGAAGAGCAAAACGGTGCATACATTTGGACATCATACTGACAACAGACTTGGACATGCTGTTTTTCATCTATGCAGATGATGTCAAGATTAAAACAGAACCCCCTAAGTTCTGTAAATGCAGGTGCAACTGCATTATGACTCCCCCATCAACATTAGATGGAAGAGAATGAAACTGAAACTATATCTCAGTCTAGTACAATAGCATATTAAGCAACCTGATGTGCATGAATTCCAGGTCTGGAAGAAACACAAGAAGGGCATGATTGAAGTTCAGTAATACATTGAAACAATGTTACTCTAGTCTCAAGTTTATGACTGACTGTTGTCACATTTTAAAGGCATATTGACATGAATGCTTAGTAGACCTTACCACTGGGATCTCCAACATAGTGCCATGGGCACATACCCACAAGCACCTTTTTGGATACCAGCCAGGATACCTGTCCTGATTTAAGTATTTTTTAAAATTAATAGTATTACTTGGAGTCTGGCACAGTGCTGCCCACCAGCATCATGTTCGTTTTGATTCAAAAGAGAGTGGTTTTACATTTTCAAGTTTGGACCCCATCTCTACCTTTCCCATAGATTTTTGGGCAAGTTGTAATTTTGTTTAGTTTCGCTAGTTGCTTTCTGGGAAATGATAGGTTTGTGACTGATTTCACAAAGAGAACACATTGCAAGAAACTGGAAAAGATACTTAAACCCAGTATGTTTTGGCTTTGATATTTAGGGAATTTTTTCAGGGGTTGCTTTAAAATTGACCTCAGATAAATTTTCTCAGTAATTGCCATTCCTTTCAGTGTTCTTTGGAGACAGTTTAAAAGTTAACTCTGAATATCAGGGCAGAAATGCGTTGCACTTCATTATAAAGTTCTATGTGGGTTCTGTGCCTCACACATACAGGGTTTATGCATGTGTGGAGTCTGTTCAGGAAGATTCCATTGCTAAGATTTACTCAGGAGGAGCCCATCCCCTGGCCCCACCCAAGTACAAGGGAGGGCTTCCCACTCAACCCTCAGTTCTTTGATCATTACCATGGGTACAGCAGGAAGTTCCTCCACTGCTCTCCATAGCTCTCTACTTACCTCATATAAGTTCTTGCTCTCCTCTTCTTCTAGCCTCTGCTGAAGAAAAGGCAGGTTGCATAGCTGTAATTGTCATTCTTCGAGTGGTCATCTTTGCAGTCACACATGGGTGCTGCACCTGTGCAGTGCCACATTAGGGAAGATTCCTCTAGCTAAGCCCAGAATTTTTGGCAAGAGCCCTGCCCCCCTCACCATTACATAAATGGGTGGTAGGCTCCCGCCATTTTCTCAGTCCAACTGGAGATCATTGTTTGCCCTATGTGTATGTCCCTAAGTGTCCTATTGCTGTGTAAATAGTAGGTAATAGGAGAGAAATACACATGCATATCCATCAACACCATGTCAGGCTCGTGGGTGGGTTATGTGAATGCACAAGTAACCATCCAAAGAAAATTACAGGTATGCAACCTGACTTTCTTCGTCGGTCTCTGTATCACACATACGGGTGACTAGCAAGCATACCTTTAAACGAGGTGGGAGGTGTCATTACAGCCCGACCAAAGGAACAGTCTTGTCAGACTCTTACATCAAGCCCATGATGGTGGACAAATGTGGAAGGTGTTGACCACATTGCTTCTTTGCAGAGAGCATCCAGGGGCAGTCCAGCATGGAGGGCCATTGCCGTTGAGACGGCTCTGGTGGAATGAGCACTAGGGCAATCTGGCAAGTCCAAGTCTGCTAGCTCGTATGCTAACTTAATTGTTTCAACAATCCAGTGTGTAAGGAACTGGGGTCCAGCCAATTCTGCTTTGGAAAGGTCCGCATACTTTATGAAATGGCATTTGGTTTTCCAAATCAGCTCAGTTCAAAACCAGTAAAAGGTCAATGCACGACGGACATCAAGTGTATAGAGTGCCCTTTCAACGTCCATAGAAGGTAAAGGGAAGAATGCTGGGGGAACAGTGTCTTGGTTGATATGAAAGGAAGACAAAAGGGAGGAGTAATAGATTGGTGCAGAGAACAATCTTTTCGTAGATTGTTTAGATATGGAGGATCAAAGTTTGCTTGCCCTATGAGCAGAGGTGATGGCCACCAAGGATACTTGTCAAGAAACCAGTCATAGGTCAACGGTCGTGAGCAGTTCAAAGGGTGGTATTGTCAGTGCATGCAGCGCCACAGATAGACTCCAGCTGGGAACAATGGGTTGGATTGGAGAATTCAGATTTTTGAGTCCTTTCATGAAGCCTCGTGAAAGGAGATGAGAAAAGACCAAGCAGCCTGCAATGGGGCCTCAAAAGGCAGAGATTTTAGTCAAGTATACTTTAATTGAGTTAGTTTTAAATCCTGTTTGATGGCGAGAGTGCAGGAATTCAAGTATCCTCTGAATGGTTGCAGTGGATGGATCGAAGGAGTGTTCTCTTGCATATCTGCTAAACTTCGCCCATTTGTGGCAGCAGGACACAAAGCTGCTTTCAAAATGTCCTGGAGGATCTAAATCCACATTTCACAGTCATGAGGTAATCAGGCGGGTTTTCTTTGGAAGATGTAGTGGAGATGTCCGCATGGGGGACAGATTTACTTAGGGCAGTAATCATGCAACTTGGACTATATATGGGAGCATGTAGTGAGGTAGTCTAGTCTGTTAAGAGATTAGCCACACCATCAGGCATACTACTACAGGATGTAGTATTTTCCCTTGATCTTGGGACAGCAAGATTGGCGTGACTCGTCGGTGCTGGAAGTTGTAGTTGGACACAGTCCAACTGTGACACTATCTACCTCCAGGAGGAAAACGCACCAGTTGCCCATATGCATGATGTACAGAAACTATGAAGAAGAAAGTAAACTTGCTTACTGGTAACTGTTCTTCGAGTGGTCATCTGTGCATCATGCATATGGTGTACCCACCCACCTTCCTTTCCCTCTCCAGTGTTGCCCTCTGATGGTCCATACTGTGATCTAGGGGGATCAGTAGTTCTCCCCCCCACACCCCAATTTTCCTGACATGAAGGTACAATGTCAGTCTCATGTGGAATCTTCTGAAATAGGCTCCATGCATATACAGAACCCCTCTGTATGTGTGAATGCACAGAGACCATTTGAAGGACAATGGTTACAGGTAAGCAACTTTACTTTATCCTTTACAACATCTTGAGACACGTCCTTTCTGGTAGGTGCTTTCAGTTTCTCTATAATAATTACTTTATGACTGACCATGTCCACCATGGCAGCTATTTTGTGGGAATGTGCACAATTCTTAAAGTGCTGGCCAAACCAAAGAGGCTGGGAACCCTGGGATACTCCAGTTCTGTTTATTGGGTAAACCAGAGCTTGGTGGAAGCCTTTCAGCATTTGCTTTTCTGTTCTTCTCAGATAAAGGACAACATGTGGAAGTAAGAGTGAACAAGGAGTGGTTCACAGGGCGAATTACAGCTGTTGAGGTGGGCAAGCAAGCAGTCCGCTGGAAAGTGAAGTTTGATTATGTCCCGACCGATGTTACTCCAAGAGATCGCTGGTAATTTTGGCATGTGTGCATTAGGGCTCAGGGACTACAGTAGCTTTCTCTGACTTGGGATTAGGCAGAGAAATGCCAATCAATGAACGGTGGATGTTTCCTTGTTTTGGGGTAGGTTTATGTGTACAGTGGTACCTTGGTTCACAAACTTAATCAGTTCCAGGACTCTGGTCATGACCCGAATTGGTCGTGAGCCAAGTTAAATTTCCCCATAAGGTTAAATGTAAATAAGGTTATTCTGTTCTGTAATCCTTTCTTTTAATCACAAAAATTTGAAACAAAGTGACAACAACAAAGATCGTGGCCATCTCCCCCCCCCCCCCCACCAAGCATGACTGTGATCGTGCCTATGCAGGGAAGAGGATCACATTCGTTACCCGATGCAGAGTTCATGACCCAAGGCAAAAATTTTCTGAAATTTCTGTTCGCAACCCAAATTGGTCGTGAACTGAGGCGTTCGTGAGCCGAGGTACCACTGTATAGCAGGGGTGGGGGCAGTCACTGCTGTTGCTAAGAAACTCAGGTATGTGGAGATCAGCATGAATATGAAAATGTCACCACATTGTTCAGTGATTGTTTCAGAATTAAAGATGATGTGTCTGTGCTTTTTTAAAAATTCACTCTTCTTTTTCCAGAGCTCTGTGCCACAGCCAGTAACAGCTCCTCCATTGATGGCCTAGTGGCACTTCGGTGTGATTGACAGTGACTGATGGCCCTTTGCAGGGGCACAAACATATGCAAATATCTTTGTATTTTTTTCTTGTTGGTCTTTCAGAGTTCCACAACTGCACATGTATAGCTGTCAAAAGTAGATATATTCTTGCTGCTTTATTACTTGGTCAGTTACAGTTGTCAGATGATAGCAGAATAAGGAGGCAAGACTGCACATAGGCTAAGTTGTAAAAAGTTAGCAGCTGCCAAGTGCCTAGCTTTCAACTGGAACACATCAGCAAATAGGAAAGAAACTGTGTAGGTAAGGGCAGCAAAATGGGAGTGGACTGTAGTTCTCCCTCTTAGCAAAGTTAATCCACTGGATTTTCAGTATCGCACTGACACTGCTTTCACCTTCCCCTTCCTGAGTTGTCAGATAACTAGACAGGGAAGATATTAAGCCTACTCCATTTTGTACTTCATTTTCATGGTACTTCTGTGGTTCCCTGACAGCTGTCAAAAACCCCTGACACTCTGTCCCGAAGCCTCTGAAGTTTTATTTTGCTTGCTAAAGTAAAATGTGCAATTCTTTTGACAGGGGACAATGCACGTATCTAATAGCTGGGCAATAAATGGACTTGCTCATTTACTGCCAAGTCATGAAATCTTTTCTATTTTGGTGTACTCTCTTTCATGCTTTATTTGAGGTTTCCAGTGTGTTCCAGTTGAAGACTAGGCACTTGACAGATGTTAACTGTTCATAATGTATCCAATAAGCAATTTCACCTCCTTATTCTGTTACCAGTTGATAGCTATAACTGACAAGGTAATAGACCAGGCAAAAGCCTGTCTGCCTGCCTGCCTGTCTGTGTGATGACAGCTGTAAGTATATACTTGCACAACTCAGAAAGTCCAACAACATTATGAATACATTTGAGCACATTTTGTCATTCTTTTTTAAGGAAGTAAACTAGCAAAAGTTGCTCACCTCTTCCAGCAGCCCACAGTTAGATCATTTTCCCAGGTTTGGATGACCCATCATGGGTCAAACAGCCCCTAGAGCAAGTTGTCAAGGTGGTTTGCTGGCCACAAGATGACACCCTGCGGGAAGTGATCTGCACTTGGATCACACAGAAGCCCACTATGGCTTATTTACTGATAAGTGGTCATGCTGTGTGAACCAAGTCAGTGTGTTTACTGTTGGTAGCAACTAAGCATCTGCTCAAATAGCACTTGTTGAGACCTTAAATTCCTAGGGTCTCTTTGGACTGGCAGATACTTTCTGTGACATTCCTGTTGTTCCCTTCAGGGTAGAGAGAGGCAGCGAGGATGTACGGCTGATGAAGCCTCCCTCTCCAGAATACCAAAGTCCAGATATGCCATTACCACCACAGCAGCAGCAGGAGGAAACTGTTCCAGCTGAACCCTCTACCTCTGAATGTGTCCGAACTGAGCCAGACACCACTGGCTCCAGCAGCAGCCATGAGACTGTAGACTTGTTAGCCCAGGTCCTCCGGTAAGATTTTTTGCAGTCTCCTGGCAGCTTATATGATGCTTAGACTTAACAGGATCATTGGGTGTCTGATTCTGCTTTTATACTGTGCTTATCAGTGTTCTTAGTATAAAATTTTTAAAGCAACAGTGGGCTGAAGATCCACTTGAGGGGGCAGAAAGTGAAAAGTATTGGTTTTTCTTGCCTGAAAAATCTCTGCAACCTATATTAATTGAAATCTGGCAATTTTGCATGCTTTATTTTGTCTTTTGGACTGAAGCCCATGTGCCCACCTGCAGTTTCACCATTAGACATTGGCCACACATATAGGAAGCATATCTTTATAACCATGATTGTACAAAATATACTGTTTTAATTTAAAGTGGAGGGGAAGCATTTTTCACAATATTGAATTCTGCACTCATGGTATATTCTTTGCTTTTTCTGTGGAATTGTAAATCGTACTTTGCACTTTAACTTTTTTTGTTTGTGGGTCTGGTTTTCCATTTGAATAGGAATTGTTTGCGGTACTTCCTGCCTCCAAATTTCCCTATCACCAAGAAGGACTTGAGTTCTATGAGTTCAGAAGAGCTGGGGGCTTTCCCACTGGTAAGTCCTGTGTTCCAACTTGTACATTCATAGAATCATAGAATAGTAGGGTTGAAAGGGGCCAAGAAGGCCGTCAAGTCCAACCCCCTGTTGTTGCAGGACACCAGTTTACACCACCCGGTTCAGATGACTGTCCATTTTCTATTTTAATGTCTCTAATGAGGAAGAGCCCACAACTTCCCCAGGTAGTAGGTTCTATGGTGGTACTGCTGTGAAAGGAAATTTCCCCTGGTGTCTAAATCTGGTTTCATTTAACTTAAGTCCGTGATGCCATGTCCTGTACTCTGGAATGGATGAGAAGAGATCTTATCCTTCCTCTTTGTGATAGCCTTTGAGGTACTTATAGAGGGATATTTATGTCCGCCCCCCCCCCCCCCCAGTCTTCTCTTCTCAGGGCTGAACATGCCCAGTTCTTTCAGTCTCTCCTTTTAGGGCAGTATTTTCAAACCCCAGATCATTTTTGTTGCCCTCCGCTGGACCCTTTCTAATTTTTCTGCATCTTTCTTAAGCAGTGACACTTTCTTAAATCATGGTGCCCAGAACTGGGCACAGCATTCCAGATGAAGTGTGACTAATGAGGCTCCCATGGCTGCTATTTTGTCCACTAGGCCATCCCTGCTAGTATTAAATCAAGGATAGCTGTTCTTTCCATACCTTCTGCTGGAAGAACTTGTTGGCAAAACATGTCAGCAATCTCTTGGAAGGGCCATGCTTGGCAGAAATAGTCTCCCAGCATGTATCAAGGCACCTGAAGTCCCCCATGAGGACTACATCATTCTTCTTGGAAATGTTGGCAGGTTGTTTTTCGAAGGTTGCATCCTTGTCCACTTTTTGACGGAGTGGTTGGTAATAGATGCCAGTAACTATGTTTTTCTTATTTTTTACTCCCTTTAAATTAAGCCAGATACTGTCCATGGAGCTGCTAAGTTCCTCTTTTTGTATTTCTGTGCAGATACATACGTCTCTTACGTATAGTGCAACTCCACCATCCCTCAATTGTAGTGTTCTAGTCATGTGAGTTATCCCACCACGTTTCCGTTATTCCTATAAGATCGTAATTGCCTTCATGTACGATGAGCACAAGTTTGTGTTGTTTGTTTCCCATACTCTGGGCATTGGTGTGGCGTAGAGACATCAAAGTTCATTCCTGTCATGCCCTGGGTTTCTTTCTGCTGTTTTTGGTCAACTGGTATTAGGCCCTGCTTGAGGTTTTTTCCTCTGTTGAAATAGTAAGGCTTTTTAGGGTGATGGTATGCCATGCTGCATGTCTCCCTTCTCTGCATGTTTCAGTGTAAAGCTCTCTTGATGAACTTTCTCATGTAGTGGTCAAACACGTGCTTTCTGTTTTTCGTTAGGTGCAGCCCATCATTTGCCAATAGTCAATCTTCTAAGAACCTTATCCTGTGGTCCCAGAATCCAAATCTTGCTTTACGGCACCCCTACCATAGCCAGTCATTAACTTGAAGGATTTTTCTTTCCCTATCAGTTCCTCTTCCATGTACTGATAGGACTGGGGAAAAGCCTATCTGGGCCCCAGTGTTTTTGATTTTCCTCCCTAGAGCTTCAAAGCCTGATGCAATGTATCTAATTTATTATTGTTTGGTGATATGTTCGTTGTATTTATAGATTTTATTGTAAGCCGCCCAGGGGTAAAAGTGATAGACGACCTAGAAATATCGTAAAAAAATAAATGCTATTTTGTGAAAGCTTCTCCTGGCAGTGTCACTAGTTCCCATGTGGATGAGAAGGAAGGGGTATTTGTCAGTGGCTTTTATGAGATATTTGAACTTACTGGTTATATTTTTAATCTTGGCTCCAGGGAGACCGCATACTTGGTGATTCTCTGGGTCATCACAACATATTTTTCCAACTTATGCAAAAGAGAATCTTCCACAACTATCACTCTTCTCCTTTTCTTCTTGCAAACTTTAATATCTGTTTCCTTACTTGATTGACTATTTGCCTTTTTTTCAGAGGTACTCAGTGTGTTGTGTAGTTCTTTCACAATGGGGTTCTCACTTGTCTCTTCCTCAAGTAACAAAGCAATTTGAGAGTTCCACTACTTCCACTGGTGTCGTTCTTCTGCATCTTCTAGTTCTTCTGCATCTGTGTCAGCCTGTTCCAAGGAGTTTCCTCATTTTCCCTTCCCTCAGTGTTTTCTTCTGCCTCAGCTTGTTGATGCATTTCTTGACTTAGCTGCTGCAGCTCCACCGTTCTGTCTAAAGACTCTCCATCTTCTTTTAGTACCCTGAGGAGGGCATACACTTGCTGCTCCGGTGCTCTCACCTTTTCTTCTGACAGGGCTACTCGCTTGCACTTGTAGGCCATGTTGCCCTCAGGAAAGAAAACACACATTGCACAGTTGTTGCAGACCACCACTGGTCCATTGTTCATGTAACCTTTGTGACCCTGTCTTGAAAGGCTGTTGTGACAACTGGTACTCCCTCCTATCTTCACTAAAGGTTAACAACACAGTTCTACTAGTAAATGGCAGTGTGTTACAGGGGGAACCAAGGGGACAGAAAAACGAGAAAAGGAGGGGGAAAAGATTAAGGGACCTCCTCCCCTGAATTCCACCACCAAACTCCTGTTTGCTCTCTCTCTCTGTTTGATCTGGTCCCTCCCTGGGAGCTTGACTGCTTGTATCCCAGAGGCCCTAGACCAGTGATGGTGAACCTTTTAGAGACCGAGTGCCCAAACTGCAACTCAGAACCCACTTATTTATCACAAAGTGTCAACACAGCAATAAAACCTGAATTTGCTGACCACCAGCACAAGGGGGCAACGTTCCACTGACCACCTGCTTTTGGCCGGCCCTGAAAAAGGCATCTGAGTGTATTTCTTACCTTCTGCTATAATCACAACGGATTGTGCAGACTCGAACCAGCGACCTTTCGATCAACTAGCCCAGCAGCACAGCAGTTTAAACCACTGCGCCACCTCCATCCCACTAAAATCACAGTCCATGCAAATCCCTGGCAGTTCACTGACTGACCATGCGAAAGCTGGCGAGTCAAGGCTAATGAGTGACATGGTTGCCTGGTGCCCTTAATCTTCCGAATATGCGCATGCCTATTGGGGTGATCTGAGTGCCCTTTTGGACACACATGCCATAGGTTTGCCATCACTGCCCTAGACCAACTGGGGCACCTTGTTCTAATCTGCTCTGCTCTGCTAGGAGTCAGGAACCAGAATGGAATCAGAAATGGCTGAGGCAGGACTTGAACTGATGATTCCCCTGGTTATTTGCTTAACTTCCATGCTAGTTCAATAAGATAGACTTTGTCATCCCTTTAAGTCATAGTGCTGCATCAAATTGAGTGGATGGTTTTTGGAATCAGTCATATTTTCACTATCCATCAACATCATTTTTGTCTATGAAGTGCCTAAATTAGCTGTTTTATTATACCACTAGAGGTCACCTCCCCGTGTGCTCTTCCCCACAGAAAGAATACTTCAAGCAGTATGAGATGGGCCTACAGAACTTATGCAACTCATACCAGACTCGAGCTAATGCCCAGGTCAAAGCTTGTGAGGAAAAGCTTCACATCCAGGAACAGAAGCTCATAGAAACAAAAGAAAAGCTCCAGAAGCTCAGGACGAACATAGTAGCACTGCTCCAGAAAGTGCAAGAGGTGAGGGAGGCCTTCCTGGTGAGCCTGAACAGCCCCTCTGTTTCTAGCATTTCCCCTGGCCAGCGTCTACACAGCTTTGGGACCACTTTCCTGCTTGGCTGGTAACCATAAGAAAGGACACTCTAGTCTTTAACACAGTGTGGAGGGATAAACAGCTGCTTGCTTCAACTCAGGTTCACTTCCCTTCCATCCAGAATCCCCTTTCTGCTGGAAAGCTGGAAGCAAACACTCCTGAATGGAAATTCGTGAGAGTTGTTCAGTTCAGTGAGGTATATACAGTAGAAACTATATAAATAATAGCTTCCCAGCCATGAAATCTTCATATATTTTCCAATCTATATTTTTAAACTGGGAAATGTATGCAGATTTTATGGTTGGGAATTAAATGGAGGGAAATTTTCATTATATTTCCCTCAATTAATTTTCCCAGCCATGAATTTGCATATATTTCCCAGTTTAAAAAATTAACGAATATGACAGCATAAAAATTGTTGGCAGAATGAGAGAAAGCAAACGGGGTACTTGCACAGTCTCCAAACCAGGGTTGCCCCAGTCAGCTAACTCCTCAGGATTGCTACCAGGGAACCATAAGAACTGTAGCAGTAAATACTCCAAAATCTGGGGGAGTACCTGGAGGCCCCAGGAGGTGGCAGAAATGGGGAGGGCACTGAGAACCTACCCTGTCATGGCTATATTTTTGTGGTGTTGAGCATGGGAGTGCTTTCTCACCCCTGCTTTTAGCCAGGAGGACAGGAAATTGGGGAAAGTGTGCATAACCACAAAAGAATTGACCACACATGAGGGCATGTGCAAAAATGTGCAGTGCTTTATCTCTTTCTGGTGTTTTGCAGGACATTGACTTCAACACAGATGATGAACTGGATGCTTATATTGAGGACCTGATCACTAGGGGAGATTAAATAGCCAAGATTCCAGAAGCAGTGTGAAATTGGGAAGGTTTCACTCTCCATGTTCTCTGGCACATTGAAATGTGATAAGGGAGCAGCCAAAGTCTATGTTCAGCAGTGTGCCCCACAATGTTAGAGACTGTGTACTGTATTAGCAGTGTGTTGGTGTACAACTTGCTTGTATTACTTTTTATATATATAATGGAACAAGAAACTGTGCTGTTGGAAGGCTTTTAACCCTTTGTTTATAAATATTTTGTTAAAAAATGGCACACAAGACATTGCTTGGTACTATGACAGGGCTTGTCCTGCTGCTTTTACATGGCCCAGCAAGGAGGACGGCGAGCATTAGGGTATCGTGCACTGAAGTGCAAGAGCAGCCAAAGCAGTGTGTTGGGTGGCTGCCTCATTGCCAAAGGCAGGGGAAGCAAATGCAAAATGTTGCCAGGAAGAGCCCTGGGGCAGGACTGGGGAAGCAGATCTGCCTGTGGAGGGCACTGCAGCTCAAGCTGGGCCTCCTCACTTCTGGGATGTCGTAAGAACACCAAGCAGCACTTAAAACCAGGGCACATTGTGGTACCATCAGCATGATGGCTCCTGAGTAATAGGTTTTGATTGGGAAGTTATCCATGTTTGGAAGCCTGGGATGTGGAGTCCAAATTCATCTGCTGGGAGCCTCAGCCCCTCTTCTGTGGTTTACAAGGCTCTGTAGGGGTAGTTCTTCAGTCCCGCTACCTTGATTCTCTGAGCATGGAGAAGGGCCGTAGTGCAGGAACAGAGCTTCTGTCAGCCTTCCCTAACCTGGTGTTCTCTGGCTGTGTTACACAACAACCCATAGCACCCCTCCCAGCCTCGGGTGTGGAAATTGTAGTCCAACAGATCCAGGGAATGCCAGTAGGGGAGAAGTGGCTTAGAGAAATGCTCCCAGCACCTGAGGTTCAAGGCAGTCAGGCTGGGAATAAATCCAGCTCGAGGCACTAGGGATGCTTCAGTCGCCCCAGGTAGCCATGTTCTGCCTTAGCAGGTTGGCAGCTGTTAGTGAGCATGGGTTGTGTCTTGCTGTGTGCAGGCCACTGCTGCTAAAATTGAGGTGGAGCTGCCGCAAGGTGCAGTGACTGGTTTCCAGCGCTGATCTGTCCTTGCAGAACGTTTATAAGAACAAACAAGACAGAACTTTGGCAAGCCAGGCAATGCATTAATGAAGCTAGCACTATGCTGTGTCACTTCGGGTCCGGTTTAAAGGGATGGCTGAATGGTCACATAGATCAGTGTACATTTGTGCAGTGAAATGATCGCTTGAGTGGGGGTGAGGAAGACATCTTCCAGTAAATGCTAATTGCCAGTAGACATTTTTTACAAGCTACTGTTGCAACTATAAATCATTGGACAAGGAGGCCTTTTACAGGAAAACACAGCTGACTGTGAAGTCTTTAAATAACATGAGAGCTCAATAGAATTCAGGGAGAATTTTGAACTCAAAAGATAGTCTCAGCTTTTGCTGCTTCTTTTAAAAATATAAACATAGCTATTAGTCAAAAAACAGGAAAAGAGACTCTGTCTCAGAGGAGTAGCCAGCAAGTATACAAGGCTTGCAAACCAAGCTGAACCTGCAGCTGCTAGAAGCATCTAAGGAACATTAGGAAAAAATAATCTCTTTTCCAGTTCTGATTAAGGCAGTGACAGCACTAGGAATAGTTCCCAGAGGAGCCATCCACAAGGAGGGAAATTGTGCTTTTCCTCTCTATATAGAATTGTGCAGACCCTTTAATCATTGGACAGATGTTGCTGAATTAGTGCTGATTCAGCCATGCTGTTGAGGTGGATAAAAAACAAGTCCTTCACCTGCAGCTTGTATCCACTAAAGAAAGTGAGGTTGCTGTGAACCTTGGGATTTGTCACCATGGGCTTACATAAAGGGGGGCAGCAGCTTCCATGAGCACAGGAATGAGGAGGCATGGAAGTTGTGGCAATTGCAGTTGCCACTTTTTGTTTCATGAAACTTTTCTTTTGTGAATTTCTGTGCCTATACTCGTATTTTTCATAGAAGATCTGTAAGCTCATAACTCACTCTCTGGCTGTCTCTTTGTCCCACAAGCAGATTTTCAAGGCAAGTTGGGTCTAAGGGAGCTGATTGCTAACTTTATTTAGAGTTGTAAAGCCACTTCATTTAAGAAGTTCTCAAAATTAGTGTTATAATGAGGACTTGTATGCACATATATTCATATTCACTCAAGGCAAGTGGTTAGTCTGGGGCATGATTGCAATGATTCTGTTTGTATCTCACTTTTCTTCCATCTTGGAACTCAAGGGCAAGCACATAGGTTCCTGGTCCTCACCTTCCTGAGCACAGATCAGATGTGGCATAGTGGTGAGAGGGTTCATCTTGGGTTAGGAGATGGAGGTTCTTGTCTCCACCCAGACATGAAGCTTCCTGGGTGACTTTGGACCAGTCATGGACTTGACCTAACCTACCTCTAGGGTAACTGTTGTGAAGATAAAATGGAGAGGATGAGTACCTCGTTAGCCAGGAAGAGTTGTTTGCAAGAGGAAAGAAGGTGGGGTACTCATGTAATGTTGTACTGATTGTTCCAGTAGGGGGTGGGGCTGCTGCATGATTTTCTGCCAGATGCTGAGGGACCTTAACAAGCCACAAGATGCTAAGAATATTGCAAACTCTTTCTGGTCAGATACTGTTGGGGAGGGTGCAGTTTAAATAGGCTTGTTTAAAACAAGTAGGAACCTTTCGTGCAAGGGCTGTGGTTCCTCCTGGTTAACCTTCAGAGGACAGTATGCCAAAAGTCACCAGGACCAAAACCAAAGAAGTGCCACTGTTTGTGGAAAAACTTGCCCTGCTTGATAGAGCAGAAAATCAAAGCCATCCTTTGTCCAGACCACGGGATCCTGCAGAACCTGGGCTCAGTGGCGTTTCCTTCTGGGGGTTCCCCCACCCCATGTGTGCGGCCCTCGTCACCACAGCAACCTCTTGTGAAGCTAGAGGTATCTTTGACTCCTCCCAGACATCAGTTTGTGCCTCATCTTTTCATTTCCCTTGGAGATAAGCAGATATTCAGCCCTTCCCAGCTCTGCAGCTGTTTGGGAGCACCCCTCTTCCCTCAACAAGCAAGAAAATCTCAGCTGCTGCTGCTGTTCTTCCCCATGCCAGGAAGAGAACCGGCGGAGATGTGTGGCCCATGAGGGTTGCCAAGTTTTGAGCTGTGTTTGGACACTGAGGCCTTGTTGTCTACCTCTTGATTCTGCCATTCTACCTCCGCTCCCTTGGGAAGATGCTGCTGAGGGGGAAAGAGCAGCATGCAGGTGTCTGATCAGAGTGGCTTCCCAGGGAAAGCACACAACAGCACCGCTCTGTGCAGTCTTGTCATGTGCCCATCCTTTGGCAGTGCCAGCCAGCTGCCCTGCCTCTCCTCCCCCAGGCTGCAAGTGTTCTCTCATCTCCTCCCACTCTATCCAAGAGTGTGGTGAGGGGCTTCCTAATAAGTTCAAGTGGGAGCTTTTATGGCTGCTGCAACAAAACTCTAACAGTGCAGCAGTTTGGTCGTGTTGCTGCCCTTAGAATAAAAGCTTGAACCTAGCTGCTTCTGCTGGAATGGAGCCCCACAAACCTTGCTGGCAAAAATTTATTCTGCGGTTTGCTGCTGATGCGAAGATGTAGCTGAGCCGAAACTACACAGTCAGTACCTGCTGCATTTTACAATCAATAGAAAATCACTAGAGAGTTAAGACAGGACAATTACAGCGAAAAGGTATGGTAGTTGCTGCAGACTATAGAGCAAACCAAATTTATTAGCATCTAAAATACGCAGTGAAACCATGGTATGCACACTTAACATGAGTCTTCAGAGTGAGTTCCAGTTTTCTGCCAGCAGGCCTTTCACGTGCATGCACGCACAGCTTGGTGTACTTCTCCCCCAAAAGCTGAGCTTGGAGACATCTGTTTCATTTGCTGAAGGTGTCGTTGCTCTCCTGAATGCCCTCACCACCTCCCTGTTCCTCCCCTGTCTCCTAGTAGCCACTGCACTTTTCCTGAGCTTACCTCTGCACCTTTCTAGATAGCTTTGCGTGTATGCTAAGCTCTGCTACTGCAATGTTGCTGCAGACGTGCCTTTCCATGAACATCACACAGCATGAAGGCTATGCTGCTGCTCATGGTTTAGTCTGGGGTGCAGCGCACACAAGAATGGCTTCTCATACTGGCTACAGTGTCAGGTAAGGAGCCCAGAGCCATATTCAGCCTTTCCTTGGCACCAGCCCATTTTGGTACCTTCCTTCCTTCACCATTAGGAACACCCAAACGTGACTCTAGCATGATCCCAATTCAGCCTTCTTCCACCTGGATGACAACACCCATCATCCCCAGCCAGCACCAATAGGAATCAGAAGGAATAAGGGGCTGTAGATACAGCATATGGATGACCTGTGAGCTTACCTCAAGATAGAGGTGGGTAGGTGTTGGGATCACCGAGAACTGCTTGACCCGGAGGAGCAATCTTGCCTTATGCTGACATCAAGCTGGTAGTGCCAGATGAAGGTCGATGGGATAGACCATGTCACTGCTCTGCAGAGGCTGCAGAGGGATGCCAGCATGCAGTGCTGTGGACGTTGCTGCTTCCCCGATTGAATGTGTCCTTGGTTCCTGAGGGAACTGCGGTCTGGCCTTCACAATCCAGTGTGTGAGGCATTGAGAATTGATCAGCTCACCTCTGAGCCATTGGCCTTATATGACCAAGAGTCTCTGGAACTGGCAGAAGGACTTGGTATGGGACTGATACAATGCCAATGCCCTGTGCACGTCCAACTCACCCAGGCTGGACAGTGGCTGGGAAGAATGCTGGCAGGACAGTGTCCTGGTTCAAGTGGACCTGCAGTGCAACCTTTGTGAGGAACCACAGAGCCATCTTCCCTCTATGAGAGGTGAGGAATGGTGGATGGATGTGCAAAACGCAAAGTTCACTCACCTGCCTCACCAAAGTGATTGCCATCGAAAAATGCAACCTTCCACAGTGGCCACGGGCTCGAAGGGGGGCTTCGTAAGTGCCTGCAGAACCACCAACAAACCATCCTGGCATGAAGGAACATGGGTATAGGACCAGGATATGCAGACCTCTCAGGAATCAATGGGACAATGGATGCAAGAACAATGACAACCGTCCTGTGGAAAGAAGAGATTGCCAGCAGAAACACTTTAATGGAGGATGGTTCCAGGCCTCTAGGGTGCAGTGCATGTAGATTTGCTGTGGGCCTCGCTCTTCAAAGC